AAAAGCTTGGATAGAAAACTTCCTATTGCAAAAGTTAGAACATAAGTCTGCATATAAATGATTATTAATACCGTAATGCAAGTTTTTCATGGCACATGTGCATGATGAGGTTGTTTTGTGTTTAGTTTAGTTTTTTTAAAGGACACTGGATAACTTGTCATTTTGTAATACTCATCTGGATTGGTGGTTTACTTGTCAAAGCTAGTTATATGTGTCTCCCAGCCCTGCAAATCTGGTCCTTAGATAGAAAGCAGCCAAAAACCCTTTAAAATCAGCAACTGACCAGTTAGACAGTCTATCTCAAACCAATAGACAATCTTAGACTAGTTTAAGCTGTTTTACCCCAGCAGGGAGTGGGTGGATGAGTTGTTATGAACTATCTTTCTAATAGATTGATCAGATAGCACCCCTTTAATCTTTTCTATTTTACCTGTTCATGATAATTTTTGCATGTATTTATGCATAATTGTTCATGATTGTCATGCATGATTTTTATTGTATTATATTAAATTTTTATTATTAATGTATTTAATTGTATTAATGTATTTAAATGTATATTATGTAAATGTACTAATGTGTTTGAAAATACACAATAAACCTTGTGCAGTTAAAGCTTCAATTGTTCTTTTTTCTATTTCCCATTAACAGTTAAAATAATATTTCTACGGATTTTCTACAGGTTACACAGTAGCACTATAAAATAAATACAATAACATTTCATACTATACAGTATTATTAAAAATTAACAGTGTAATTCTGTACTTTAATATGGTAAGAAATTACAGTAAAATAATGTTATTTAATTTGCAGTATGCTTAACAGTACTGTAGTTAGTGTTACGGTAATTTTACTGTAAAATGAAATACAGCAAGTACTGGATAATTGTTGCCAGTAAGTTACTGTTAATTTGACAAGAAATTTTTTACAGTGTATTATTCATTATAGAGTTATATATCATTTTATTTATAATCATTTGATTTAAAAATAGAGATTTTATGCTTTGTGAGTGCAAAACAGCTTTATTATAAATTATATTCAATTATTTACTGAAAATGTAAAAATCCAGTTTTCTCTGACGGTAGTGTTTTAGGTGTATGATATAGAATACGCTGTTACAGTACAAAAATTGTTATGGCTATATAAATAAAAATAGTTTTAGGTCGGCATTAAACAAAATCATTAGAGTAATCTTTAAAAGAAATAGAAGATATGAATGTATTAAAACTATAAAGATTTAATTTAAACAATCTTTTCATTTTAAAAGCTTGAAACTTTTACGATTATGATTCGAAATAATTCTAGTACGAACAAAACTTTGACTCGGCGATGCACAGAGACTCATCTGCTCTGTCACTATCCTGAAGCTAATGGGTGGCCGACCTTTGGCATCACAGTTTCTAAAATGTCTTCATTGGTGCTCTCGCACTAAAGATAGACCTATGTGGTGATTTTCGCAGAGATACTACTTAAGGAATTATTGAACATTTCACACAATGTGTGAGATGACTTGTGAGAGATCGAATTTTTTACATGCACCCTGATAAATAAAAATATAGTCAAGTTTTTCCATAGACCGCTGATGTAGCATATTTGTTTTATGAATTAATTTAATTTATTTTAAAACATCTGGTATTTTTAAAAGATATCATTTAAACTTTTAATGATTATACTATGAAGTAAGATTAACACTAATCAAACATATGGAATGTCTCCGCTGAACCGACACGCACACACACACAATGCATGCCTGTAAAGCGAGGGGGAGAGAGGATCACTTGTGGGAGATCTTAGTCTTAAGATCTTAGTCTTATTTTTGAAATGAACGATAAAAGCATTTAATTGATATACTTTTAAATGAACAATGTTGTTCAACTTCAACTCAGTTAGTGTGAAATGTTATATTTGTAAATTAATAATTGCACATTTATTACCATTTCATTTATATACTTTTGAAGATCAATGTTTTTCAACTCTAGTTAGTGTTAAATAATAATAATTTTGTAAATTACTAGATGTAAATTTATAACTATTTTCATTTATATAGAGCTTAATGTTTAGTGTGAAATATATCGTCCTCACTTGAAGGGGTATAATGTAACACACACACACACACACACACACCCACACAGAAAATAAGTGTGAGAGGGTCCCTCTGACTTAGAGGATTCAGAGAGGTCTAAAGTAATTTATTGCCATTTATTACACAGAGACACACACACACACACCACTCTGGCCATGCATGGGGGAGAGAGAATCACAGGGAGATCTTCACAACTTTAAACTCATCTTTTGTAAACCATATAAGTATTGTATGGACATCTTAGGAAGTACTTTGTCGACCAGCTGGAAAAAGTAAGATGGTTTTATTTTTGATAGACTCTTAGTCAACTTATAATCTATAAAACATGTTGTTTTATTTTACAATGAATGATAAAGCATTTTATTGATATTCTTTTTAAATGATCCATGGTTTTAACTTTAACTAGTGAGAAAAAGTTTGAACTTTTTCTGTAACTGTTTCAGCAGAGGATGCAGGAATGTAATGCAGTCACAGACACACACACACAGACAGAAAAACAGGATCACAGATGCTGCTGTTGATGTGAGGGAGAGAGGTTTTTCACATCTTGATGAAAATGACTGATAAAGTAAGATGCTTTTTCACATTTAAATCTAAATGTTTTTTTCCTTATAATCTATAAAACACGGTTTCATTTTTTAGCTCGTGTAAGATTTTCTCTCGGTGAAGGAATGTTTCAGCCATCTCACACCCCGACTGTCACAGGGCCGAAGGCCGGTGAGAGAATCTTCACCACTCAAGTAAGCCGCTTTTATTTTACATACCCTATTGTGATACGGTCATTATTAGAAAATTATACCATCAATGCAACAGCAGGATGGGATGGGGAATTCTGTAGAACAGAGACCACCCATTTTATAGACGACTTTTCTGGTATGGGAGGGGGGCTACATCAACGATAAAACCAGACAACCGGGGTCAAACCTGTCCATTTTGATCGATCGCCTCCTGGGGTCACTAAGAGGACAAAACCATACATGTTCACACACATGTTTTTTGGATTAAAAAAGGTCATCCGGTCAAAACCACAGATGTTCACACACACACATGTTTTTTGGATTAGAAAGGTCAACGGGTCAACACCACCTGTCCATTTGATTGATCGGTAGGTCAAAGGTTAATCGATATCCCAGACATGGTATGTCAAAGGTCAACGCTTTATGACCACTTCAAAGAGCGAATCCGGAAGGTCAAAGGTCAGCCCCGCCCACCTGTCAATCAAAAAAGCAATAAATCATTTTGACACATGGTGCCCTCTATAACTACTAACAACGAAAAAGCATTGACTTGTAGCTTACCTAAAGAGGGCTCAAACATCTCTATAGTTATGATATAGAGTCTCAGTCATTATATTCTATATTACGCTATCAAAATTACAATACTTTTGTCCTAATTTCTTCACTTGTAAGAAATAAACCCTTGAGCTTTTATTTAGGAGAAAACACAGAACACCATGCTGATCCTGTGAGCAAAGAGCGCGTTTTTTTTTTTTTTTTTTCTCAAATCACGCAGCATTACAAACAGAATGCCTAACGCAAGACTTGTATTGTTTATCCAAAAATACGAAATATAATAATGAAAACACTGGACATGTCAATAAAACATAAACATAACATCTTCCCAAACACATATCAAGCTTATTTAAAAACCTCGAAAGCATAAACACTCATTCAAAGTACCCAGAAAAGGGAGATGTAAACAACCATAAGTTCCCGCCTTCTCAGCACGAGCTGACCGTTACATCTACACATCAAGAGAGGCGGGACTTAAGGCAGAACAGCCAATCATCAGCCGGACACACTCAAAGCCGGTGTCAAGTTTGACAGCCGCAGAGGAGACAGCCGCAGCGAGCGCACGCACACACACACACACACACACACACACACACACACACACACACACACACTGAGTGCCAGAGAAACGGAGGAGCGACTGTAGGAAGGCGTTTGTGTAAAACTGCGGAAAAACGGCAGAAAAAGTGCGGGTGTTGAACACTCTCACCGAGAAAAGTGTGGGTGTTAAAACACCCACATCTTTGAATATTTAAAACCAATGCATTCGCAACCGTGGGGGATGTGGGTGTTAAAACACCCACATCCCCCACGGTTGCGACGCCCCTCATTAGAATAACACGCCCCTAAATATTCAAAGGTGTGTTCGACATCGCCTGCGGCTGCTGGATGCAACCGATCGGCGAGAACAGCCGCGTGCAGGCGGGGAGGAGCTGCAAACGGAGACGTGAAGTCGGACAAATTTCTGGTTCCCGTAGTGACCGCTCACGTGGTGTTTGCATGCTTTAACACAGCTGAAGTGAAATAAATGCAACATTTGCCAAATAAACAGATATTTCAGACACATTTTCATTTAAAACTTTACTGCTTCATACAGCATCTGTTTGAACTAAAATAAAGTTCAAAATAAGCCTATAATCAATGACGTGGTATCAAGGTTTTTTAATCAGTTTTATTTTTGATAAACATGACACAAACATGACAATAGCCTATAACATTGCGACTACATGAAAAGACTGTTTACTGTTATAAAAAAACTGATTTGTGAGCTTATAAATGGAACTAAGTTGTGAAAATAAACGAGAAGGGTCTGACTGCAGAGCCGCAGTTTTACCCCTGCAGTTTCACCCCAGCAGTTTTACCCCGCGCATGCGCAGTTTCACTATAGCAGTTTTAACCGCTCGTTTTGAATAAGTCAGTCAGTTCAGCAGTGCTGTTGGACAAATCATTCTTTTATTTAACATATATTCATGTCGCAGGAAACTTGCTATAACAGCAGCACCAGGCCGTTGGATCAAAATGAAAAAAACAAAACAAAGTAAGGGTATTTTGTTGTCTTGTTTTCGGAACACTTTAACGTCCTGATTGATTTCTTTGTTTTTCGAAATGCAATTTGCCATTTCAGCATATCTCCCATCAGCTCGATATGACATCCTGTCGGGTCTTCATGATTATGGTAAGTTATTGGACTTTTATCAGTCTGTCTCCACTCTGTTATATCAAAAATATATTGTAAAATGAATGTTTCAGTATGCCCTACACATCTTGAATGAACCCGTTGATTTCACTGCTGTAAGTCTTATTTCTACGTTATATTAATATTATTGTTGTTAATAGTATTCATGGAAGTATTGCTTTTTTCTCAGCATGACATTCATGACACAATAAGTGGTGCCTTCTCCTCATGGAGAATTTTGTTTCTAGGGTTTAGTTATTATTATTTGTCATTTAGCAGACACTATTATCCAGAGTGACTTTTAGTAAACTAACTTTAGGGACAGTCCTTGCTCAGGACTCAGTATTCTGCACAACTTTGTTCTCATTGTTGTCTTTTTGTATTTTGTCAGACATGGAAGGTGGCTTGCACATTGGGCTGAGGCGGTTGGATTGCACATGGCGGTTGGATCTTGCCTCACTGACAGTGAAGTGAGCTTTTGTTGTCAAAGTATTTTGTTTATTTATTTATCTATCCTATTGTCAGTCGACAATATTCTATACTTAGACTTTCAGGGGACACAGATATCAGTTGGGTTCTTAAAACACGCCAAGTCCCATTGTTGCAGGGTTGATCCTTGAAAGACCCTAAAAGACCCCTGTGAACACACATGTGCCCCAAGCCAAATGGTCTAGAGCTAGTCTGATCATTACAGGCATGCACTACTTTAAATATATGTTCTTGCTAAATGTAATGTTGTAGTTTTATAATGCGGTATTAAAAAGGGCTTAAAAGTCTTAACTGGTGGACACCCTGTATTAGGGCAGGGACATTGACCTTTGCAATTTTTGTTTGTTTTTGTAAAATGGATTGATTCAAATAGCTGAATTCTCTCGTGCAAATTCGAAGTAAATCAAATCTTAGTTTGGTTCTGCATTGCATATGCATGAAATTATACATTTTATTAAATTAAACATTTTGTAGTGGACAATTACATCACACTGTGCTCTTCTACAACAGATGAATGGACCAGGAGAAATTGAGTATGGAGTAGGAGCGCTGGAGGGGGACACGACACCACACAATCTTGAGGTATTTTGTCGAGTTATGCAATGTATATAATATATTTAGACATTTTATTTATCTGAAAATACTATAAAATTGTTGATTGCTGTTAATTTTCAAATATTTTTCATAAAGAATGCCAATATGATGAGCAGCATCAGGAAAGGTGTGGAATGGTTGAAGGACAATCACCCGCTGATGAAGATCAAGTACTTGCCACCACGCATTGACAGCATGGAGGAAGAAAGCCCTTTCTCCACTACATTCACATTGTGCCACAACTTTGGATGAGGATGATGAATTAAGAGCCCCATTCTATTTTACATTTAAAAACTGAGAGGTCATGCCCTTTTTCATGTCTGAGGTTCAGGACAAAGAAAAATGTTAGAGTGTCATCATTTTAAAACCCTGACATTTAATTATTATTATTTATTTTCTAATTGGTGACAGACTTGCTGTCTGTCTGTCTGTAGCAGTATGTCTGTGTATGTATATTACACAGTCTCTCTCTACCTCTGGAGGTGGAATATCAGGATAAAAACACCTACAGCTGTGTGCTGAACAATCCCATCAGCAACCAGACCACACATCTGGACATCAACACACTCTGCAGACACACATGTGCGGGTACAGCACCACTCATCATATATATATGTGTGTGTGTGTGTGTGTGTGTGTGTGTTTACTGACCTGATCGCTGTCTTCTGTTGTAGATCACACTGATGCGTTCACTCACATTCATGACTATATCTCTATTATTTTTGGAGCGAGCTCTTCTGACACGCAGAGGTCTCGTGGATGTCTGGACACACCCCGCAAAGCTGCATGTGTGTGTTGGACCCCTAAAAGTGTCAAAGAGGCAATAAACTCCAGACTTTTTGGAGCCATGCAGGCTGTTGAATTTTAGGGTGTTGGATTGCATATTTCACCCTGGCGCGACTCTGATTCGCCACAGTGAAGAGTCTGGCGAATCCTGTTGCCATCCCATAGAGACGTGATACTGTTGCATGGTCTTTGACAAGTGTATTGCCCCATACATGTCCACTCTAAAGAGAAACATTATTAGTGATACAAAGGCTGATCATTATTCTTAGCCATGTTTATGTTATGCCCCAACCTGATGAGCTTCTCGATGGAGGTGCTGATGAAGAGCATCACTGCTTGGTGGCATGTGTCAAAGTCTTTTCCTTTGTAGAAGACGAGGGAGAGTCGCGCAGCATCCACAGTTGAGATGTTGTCCTCAGATACACCATCGAGCATCAGGACAAATCTGTGCCAGAGCAGCTGAAGTGATCTCAGACAGGGAGTGGCACACGGATCAGGCTGTCTTCTTGCAGAGGCAGTGTCACACACATCCCGTTAGGGCATTCCCTGGATGGTCCAAGATTGTGAGCAATAGCATGTGTTGTACAACTCGAATTCCAGAAAAGTTGGGACGTTTTTTTTTATTATTATTATTTGAATAAAACGAAAACTATCAAATCACATGAGCCAATATTTTGTTCACAATAGAACATAGATAACATAACAAATGTTCAAACAGAGTAATTGTACACTTTATCCAATAAATGAGTTCATTTCAAATTGGATGCCTGCTACGGGTCTCAAAACAGCTGGGATGGGGGCACCAAATGTTCTCTATTTGTTAAAGATCTGGATTTAACACCCGGACACAGTTGTATTATCTGAAGTATGTGGTTTTGCTGAAATACACAAGCACTTCCCTGAAATAGACACCATCTGGAGGGGAGCATATGTTACTCCAAAACCTTTAAATATATTTCCGCATTCTTTGTGGATTCCAAAACCTGCAAGCTTCCCATACCGTCTGCACTTACAGTACGCACCCCCATACCATCAGAGATGCGGCTTTTGGACTGAACGCTGATAACTCGATGGAAGATCTCGCTCTTCTTTTGCCCGTGATTTCCTACAAGAATGTCCAATTGTAAAATTACAAATATAATGTACAGAAGTAGCTGCACTGCTTAAGTACAAATGTATTTCTTTTGAACAAAAAGATAAGTAAAGTCAATCTGAGCGGTAGCAAGCATTAGCGTGTACTGTACATTTTAAAACTAAACAAAAACCTCATAACATAAGAGATGCACTTTTTAAAATAATGTCAGCATATTATCAATTAGGTTGGTACAATATCAAAATCACAAATTATGGGTCTGCAAACTTATATCTGCCCGATGACGATACAGCGACAGGTTTAGAACGTCTGCAAGAAAATACATATTGACTATATCAGGGGTTTCTATAGGGCCACAGCCTAATTAAACACACCTGATCCAGCTAATTATAAAGAGATACGCTTTATATATATATATATATATATATATATATATATATATATATATAGTTTAGACTCTTTATCATATACAGAAATGGACCATGGTGAACCAAGCCCAGCTCCAACTTTGAGGTGTGTTGTGGCAAGAATCCTGTCAAACATCATCACTGCGTAAGAGACACTCAGAGTCAAATTAAATAAAGAAAAAGTGTTTATTCTTGCAAGAATAGGCCAAGTCACCAACACAGCAGTTACACTGTGGAGAGAGTGAGACGCCTTCAGGGAGACATTAGACAGCTCTTATATTATTTTCAAGGTTTCTCTTCACCCGCTGTACCTTTCACCCACCTAGATAAGGTCCTTACTGCTGTTAGTCTCTACTTATGGACACAAACTGGTACTGAAATAAACTGGCCGTCCCTAAGGTCAGAGGTACTGTTCCTAAAACGTCACCCACAACCACGTACATATCTATATTTTACTCATGGAATAGGTTCAGTGGAAACACATGGCTCAGACTACCTAGTAATCTTCACTAATTATTAAATTAATATTATTAATTACATTACTGGTGAGCCGGGGTTTTAACGTTATTATTTTTTTCCCTAGTAATAAAGGTTGTAACTTTATTTTATAACAAAAGCAGCAGTCTTAAGGGACTCTATATAAACACAGAGCTCAATGCTAAAGTGTTTAGGCCTACTTTCCCTTCCAAAAATGTCACTACCCCCACTAAATAAGTTAATAAAAAAGCGAAACAGTGCGACGAAAACAGCAACACGGAGATGAACATAGAAATAAGTAAACAATCAAAACAAAAAAAACAAAAAAACACAAAAATAAAAATGTATAAACAAACAAAGAATCAATAAACCAATATAAAAAAAAGTGTGAAAGAGGTTGTGTATGAAAATCTCACTAAAAAGTGATGATCAAATACTGCATACTGGATCTGTTGTTAGAGCTCATACCGGTCCTGACTCTCAACCTTTAGTTTCTGCCAGAATCTCTGTTTTGCTTTTGATCTTCCTATGACATTGACCGATCAACTGCAGCACATATTTACATAATGTCTAACCGTCGCTCTCTGCAGTGTGAGTGGCGTCAGATGTTTGAAAACAGCATATCACTGCTTGCGCACTTCATTTATGTCTAAACGGAAAATCAATTACTTTTATTCTATTAAAAGTAAAAGTCTTTCTGATAGAAATGTCATGTGGATTGAAGGAGAACCCAAGCGCAGACTGGATGCAGTGACTCAACGTTTAATTATACAGAAAACAATGGAAAATAAAACCCACGAGGGGGCATGGACAGAATACAGAATGACTAAACTAGACTTAACGCTTGACAAATTAGACTATAAACTAACAACAGAAACTCGTAACACTAGACAAGACTCTCACAGGTACGTTTAGCAATCACTGACGCTACGTATGACAAAGTCCCACATCAAACAATGAACCGACACAGGACAGAAAACACAAGGGGATTATAAAGGGGACACTAATGACAAGGACAGGTAAAACTGACTAGACAATAATGACAAGACGAGGATAACAAGGGGGTAACGTAACGAGACAACACAACACAAGCACATGGCCCAAACAGGCCATGCGCTTGCACACAAAACATGATTCTGTCATGATCTTGCCTCACGACGAGAGAAAATCAAGGACAAGAAGGCAGAATCATGACAAGGAAAGCATGATTTAACGTGAACGTTTAGATAACGAAAGTGCAGAAGTATACCTTTAACTCTTGTGCATCCTTATGGGCATTTGTGTCCTTTTCTGTTTTGTTTTTTTGATCACTTGATCACAAAAATTGGCACAGGTGTGTATTTTTATTGGGATTTTACTATTTCATCGTCATTTTCTTAAAAAAATATTTTTTGCATTAGGTACAAAAAATACTCCATCTTAGCACCTTTTGGACAAAAACGTCCCCATTGAAACCCATTAAAACTGCCATTTTTAATCCCCGGTTCAGTTAACTATAAAATTATGAAATCTTTGTTAAGAGGCTTTCATTCTGATGGCAAGGCTACAAAATTTTTATTTTTTTTACTATTTTTTATCAGATGGTGCTATTTTTAAAAAAAAGTTTGGCCTATAAAACAAATATGACTTTATTCCTGTTTTCTGCTTCGGCATACTATAGAGCCGACTGGATAAATTATGCAACGATATTTGTGTGGGTGTGTTGGTATGGATGTTAGGGTGTGGTTAGTATGTGTGTTATAAAAAAAATTTGTGTGTGTGTGCGCGCATGTGTGTTTTAGTAATACTGAGTGAGAAAAACTGCAAATTCAAAGCCAATCACTGTGAGCTCTAGTGGGGTTTTGCTGGCACCCAGTGGGAAAAATATGTTACTACGCCCAAACAAACTGTTACCGAAAGCTCATTTTTTGAGATATCGTCCTCAAATTTGGACAACCTATTTAGATTTATTTTTTGGGGATTTACTCATTATTATTTTTTTACTTCAGCAATAATCTGCAAAGGTTCTTCTTTAAAATGATACCAAACTTAAGTCTGTGCTCCGAAACGTCACATTATTATGACAGTTTTTTGACATGGACATTTTAGTCCTCTTTTTACCTATGTGTAACTTTTTTTAATTGATGCACAAGGGTCAAGTTACGTGTTTAAATATACGGTTCAATAGAATGAAAGAACATTTAGATTCATTTTGTTTTCAGACTGTACCAGGACCAACATTCTGCACGCATGACATGCACATTGCACATACCACACATACATTTGTACACACAAATAGACATTGCATCATTGGACCTTGATACTTTAAGATCTGTATTTAAGGACCTTCTCCCCAAACAGAAGCCTGTTCCCTTTCACCAGATATGCTTCAGTAAACTGTGATGACGAAAGTCATTTTGTCACATTTAATGCACATTAGAGGTATTTCTGAAGTTGTAGGGAGGTCAAGAGTTCGACCCATATTCGCTCAGCCCTACAGTCATGTAGAGTTTAAGGCTAAATGCCAAATTCACTCGTATTGGTACCGATCACTGAAATCTTGGAATCGTAACAATTAAAGAGTTTCAGCTGATCTTTTTCCATCATTTCCAAATTCTCTTCAGTGCTCATTTCAGTGCATCAAAATTATAAATAATGTTACATTATTTTATTGGGAGCCTCGGCCTGAGTCTGGATGTTCCATGTCCTCCAAAAGAATGTCATGTGGATCAGGTTGTAGATCATCAGCATCACCTGGATGTTCCATGTTCTCCACAGGAATGTCATTGGGATCAGCTGGTGGGTCATCAGCATCCCCGTCCTGTAAGAAAACACAGATTCACAGAAGGTTAAAGTGATGAGAAGGATAGATGTTTCAGTTACACAAACACAAAAATACTGTGTTTTATGGACAGAGGTTTTCAGTTATAAACCTGCATCAAACTATCATCTCCTGTACTTCAGTAATACAAAAATTGAAGTATTATGATTTAAATATCACATTAAAAAAAATGTTTAAACTGTTATATTGGCGATTTCTAACAAAACACTGGCTCTCTGACAAAAGTTGCACTGTTGTATTATATGAATTGTTATTTAGTTAATTTGTGAGCGTTAATTTGACTGCCTCACTGGTGAACTGTAGTGTTAAAAAAAAAAGGACAAAAAATACTATTCAAGGTTTGCATTTATGTTTATATATAGAATTATTCTCATATTTCTTGTTAAATCATCTGATATGTAATTCTTACATCCTGTGGTACTGCTGCATGTGTACCGTGGTGATGATAGTAAATCAGAGCAACAGCAGCACCCACAACAGCAGAAACCAGCAGAAGAACACTAACAACTATTCCTGCTACAGCTCCTGAAGACAGACCTGACCCTGGAACAGATGAAGAGAAACAGACATTATTACTAGAGATTGACTGATAATCCATCCAGTATTTAACAATATCTTTGACTCATATTTACACATTTCTATATTATACATACACCTTTCTGGTCATCAGTTGTATGATATTGAATTAACTTATAAATGGCACCTTCTGTTTATTTTAACAACAGCCGTTAAAATCACAATATTCACTGGAAAACTGCATTTATATTTTAATAACATTAGTCAAAGTGTCAAACAGTTATTGGATTGATTTAAAAATACTGAACTGTTTTTTTCCTCAAAAGAAAATGCATTTAATGGCTGAATTATACACTCACCAATGACAGAAACACTGAATCTCTTCACCCTAGTGATGCTGAAGCTGCTGTTGTTAATGTTGATCTGTAGTTTATATTCTCCAGAGTGTGTGTTTCTGGTGGTCATGATGGTCAGAGATCCAGTCTGATGATCCAGCTTCAGTCTGTCTCTGAATCTCTCTTTACACTGATCATCTGTACAGATCTGACTCTGATCTCCAGTGATTTCAGCGATGAGAGTGTCATTAAAATACCACATCATCACATCACTTGGTTTTCTTATTACACCAGGATGTAAAGTAACAGATTCTCCCTCCTTCACTGACTTTCTCTTCACTTCATCTCGTTCAGCAGCAGGTACATCTGAAACACAAACCAAAAGATGATTAAAGTTCTTTAGATGAAAGCAACAAAAATTTATTTCAAATCAAGTAACATTTATTTATATTTAGCGCTTTTTACAATCCAGATTGTTTCAAAGCAGCTTTACAGAGATAACAGGAAAATAATGCAACACAGTCCTTAAAAAGTTAGATTTTTGTTGTAAAAAGTGATTAATTTAATTTAGTGATTTTTCATGAGCTGAACTCAAAGATCTGAGGCCTTGTCCACACGGACACGGATATTTTTATAACTGTATTTTTTCCTCCAGCGTTTAAAAAAAAAATCCCGTCCACATGAAAACGCAAAAACACGCCATCAAGCACTGTCAAGAGCATGCCACACCAGCAGGCGGCGATATAACCCTAACCGTAAAGCCACTTTAGCCAATCAGAAGCCTAACAATAAGTTATTACAGGTTAAAGTAGGCAGATAACGGCGCAGCGCAGACGCACTCTCTGACGTCACAAGGCAAAAACACGACAACACTGTAACCGGCGTTTCTGAAAATCCTCACCCTGTCAGGGGTTTTCAAAAATGATTGGTTTCAGTGTCCTGCGTGTGGACGAACGGCTGAACCGCGTAAAAAAGTCATGATTATAAAATACCCGTGTCCGTGTGGACATGGCCTAAGACTTATTCTATGTACACAAAAATGAGCACTTAGATCCATCCACCTCACGGGTGTGGCGTATCAAGATGCAGATTAGACAGCAGGATTATTGCCTTAGGCTGCCCACAATAGAAGGCCACCCTAAAATGTGCCATTTCAACACACAGCACAATGCCACAGATGCTGTAAGTTTTGAGGGAGCGTGAAATTGCCGTGCTGACCTCAGGGATGTCCACCAGAGCTGAATGTTATTTCTCTAACATAAGCGTTTTAGAGAATATATGCAGTACATCCAACCGGGCTCACAACCGCAGACCACATGTAACCCCACCAGCCCAGGCCCTCCACATCCAGCATCTTCACCTACAAGATTGTCTAAGACCAGACGGCCGGACAGCTGCTGCAACAATCGGTTTGCAAAATCAATTATAATTCTGCACAAACTGTCAGAAACCGTCTCAGGGAAGCTCATCTGCATACTCATTGCCCTCATCAGGGTCTCGACATGACTTGAGTTTGTCGTCGTTACTGACTTGAGTGGGCAAATCACATTCGATGACGTCTGGCACTTCGGAGAGTTTTCTCTTCAAGGATGAATCCCGGTTTTCACTGTAGAGGGCAGATGGCAGACCGCGTGTGTGGCTTTGTGTTGTTGAGCGGTTTGCTGATGTCAATATCAGTTTAAACATAACATTCACTAAAGGCGGGCGTACACGGTGCGATTTTTTGCTGTTTTACGAGCTCGCCGATGATTTTTTTCACTCGGGGGAAATCGCGTGTAAATCGGTTATGCTCGCATGTCGCGGCTCGTATCGTGTGCGAGGAAGATACGAGCTGAGCCGAGCACCTCTCGACCTTCCGATAATTTTTAAGCATGTCGAAAAAGTTCGGGAGCTGTCGGCTTGCATTCGTGAGGTGTATGCGGTTGAATGAGCCGATTTGTCAATCTATCTGAATTTGACCAATCAGCAGCTTAGGAAATCCAGAGAAGAAAGACGAAAATGGTGTGGACTACTAGAAACACTGCTTTAATTAATGTTTTCATGATGACTTTGTGAAAGGTTAACTAAACAGCATCTGCTGTGTTCCTACTGGCCAGTATTTGGCATATTTCATTCTGAAACAACTGTAGGCTATGATATTGTTTTTGATAGTGCTATACATTTCTTACAGATTCTCACATTACGATGATCATTACGTTTGCATGTTCCTAAAAGCAATTACAGTTTGTCTGCAGCCTAAGCTTTTTTTATTAATGCCGACAGAACAATGTTGCCAGATATTGCTACGAAAAACAAGCAAAAACTAACAAAAACAAAGAAATTATATAAATATCCAAAATAAGTTCAAAGCTTGTGTTTTGAAAATAAGATAAATATATTAGGAACCACTTTAATAACTTCCTAAAGTGTGACATTAATCCAAAAAACGAGTCCAGATACTGTCACCTTTCCATTATGTGGATCTGACAACACGGGATCTGGCACCCGCGCCCTCACTCACAACGCGCTCAAGCTCACTCAATCCCCGTTCACGGCGATAGCTTCTCGCAGCAAAATGAATTGCAAACTCTCACACATGAGGTGGATTAAACGGCTAATTAAATAAACAGCTTGAAATTTTATTTATGAATGTGTAGCCAACCGTAACTACGTTTTTTAACTCATTCACACACACACACACACACACACACACACACACACAAGGGTGACCGGACGTCCTTTTCCCGGTGCTGAAAACGAGCATATAGAAAAATAATCACGGCTTGAATCAATATTTTATATGCAGTTATTCGAGTTTTTAGGGCGGAACTTCGTGCGATTTCTTCGGAATTTAGCAGGTCGTAAAATCGTGCCGTATATCACTGCCTCCGTACGATTTTTGGATAAACTCACTCGTAACGTGTGCCTGGACATACGATCTTCCGACCATCAGAATTCGTACCGTGTACGCCCGCCTTAACTCACCATGAACAGAAACATTGAAGATATTTCCACTGATTCTGCTGCTGATGATCTTCACTTCATAGAGTCCAGAGTGTGTGTTTCTGGTGTTCATGATGGTCAGAGATCCAGTTTGATGATCCAGCTTCAGTCTGTCTCTGAATCTCTCAGTGCCTTCATTACACTGAACATCTGTACAGAACTTACTGAGATCTCCATTGATCTGAGCGATACGAGTGTCATTAAAATACCATTTAATATCATATTGTTTGATTGTTTGAACACCAGTGTATAGAGTGACTGAATCTCCCTCCATCACTGACACTGCATCTGATCCGACACCGGAAACACCTGGAGAAGAAATGAACATATATTAACAAATTCACAATATAGTTTAATCTGAATTTGAATCTCCCACATCAATAGTGTTTATTAAATTTTAATTTGGAAGAAGCTTTTCTCATATTAGATTCAAGTTACATTAGTCAACACTTTAAAGTATGTGATTTATTGGTTCAGTATAACAAATATTTAACAGTTAATGCAGCATCTGTTTTGGCATCCTATCATTACATCATATGATGGTGCTATAATTCATTTAAATGCTATTAAACCATTCAATCGCACTAAGAAGGAAAAAACACAAATGTACTGGTGCATCTGAACCGGTTCTCTATGGATACTGAGGCTTTTTCAGTCGGGTAGGATCTGTGATCTCTGACCCGGTTTGTTCATTGGCTTCCATGACTGTGATATATGCTGTGTTTTCCATCAACTGGCGACCCGAGCTGTCGAAATACTACTGGGCAGAATCCCACAGACCAAAACATTATCAGACATGACGCGAAACCCACATTTCAAAGAAGAATAAACGCCTGTCGCATTATTTCTATTAGAAAAAAACTGTGAACAGTGCGTTTTCTATACAGTACATGTCTGAGTGCAAACATATTATACTTTTATTCTTTAGTAAAGTATTGCATTCAGCTGGTGCTCTTCCGTAATTTTTGTCTGAAACATTGTACATTTGTTTTTATTTTTATTTTATTTTTCTTTGGAATGGTACAAAACTTGGTAAAGGTTTTGGCACTTGCTATGTGAACACACACACACACACACACACACACACACACACACACACACACACACACACACACACACACACACAAAAGACACGATTCCAACAGGTTAACAGGGAAATGAATGGGAGAAGAACTCTATCTAGAGTTAACTTTTGGCACCGTCTCATATTTTAAACACAACTTGTTTAGATTTAAGGCTTTGATTTTCTCAGTTTTAGAGTAAAACATGTTTTTGAAAATTGAAAATAGTATTTCTGCACATTTTTCATAACAGTAAACGTAAAATTCTGTAACTTTTCACTTTTTCAACAAATTTCACTTTTTTCACTTAGTGTCGTCTTTGAAAAATGTTTCTCTAGAAAAAAGTCTGTGCTCTGAACTAAAGCATTCAAGAATTACAACAATTGGTCTACGCTCAAAGAGTGAACAAATTAATTATAAATACAGCGTAAATATAATTCAGTACAATGAAATCCCCTAAAAATACAAAATATTCAATACAATTTTTTTGACAGAAATATAGTACATTAATTTCATTTTCATTGGAAAAAAACTAATTTCAGTCATTTTTGACTGACATGAAGAGCACTAATGTATATTATTACCATACGTCTAGTACCCTTTAGGTTCTGATATGGTATAAATGTGTAGCGTTGACGCAGTGGCGGCTGGTGAATCATTTAATAGGTGGGAATGTGGCTTATCGAACAATCTGTTGCAGAACAGGAAAAGTTAAAGAACATCTCCTTGACTTCTGGTTATTCATAAAAACAGCTGTAATGAGTTCATTTACCAGTTTCAATGAAATTTTGGACACCTCCATGACCGATTTAAATAAGACAGAGGAAAATGTACGAAACATTAGTAAACTACTTAACTTTGGTAAACTACTTTAGTTAACATGAACTAAGAACAAACAATACTTCTACAGCACGTATTAACGTTATTTCAACATTAATGCACTGTGAAGTAACATGAACACACAATTATTAACAACTGGATTTTTATTAACTAAATTTTAAGATTTTTTAATTTTAAAATTAAGATTAAAAAATACTGTAACAAATGTATTGCTCATTGTTAGTTCCTGTTAGTTAATACATTATCAAATGTTGAGAAATGAGACCTAAAGTTTACCAAAAAAAAATCAATGTGATAAAAAAAAAAAAAAAATCTGTATGTTGGTCTGGACCAGCTTGTTTAGTTTTTCTGCCAAAGTTGTCTTCTCAAAGTGACATTGAAGCATTGATTTAAGTTAACTGTGATGACCGTGCACCCTTGGCTTTGGAAAAGCTTAAGCAAATGGGTAGCAATGCAAAATGACAATGCAACATGTTAAATGGCATTGGATTCTACATTACATTACCATTCTAGCAACATTTGGTGCAAAATTAAAAATAAATTACATAATTTACATTAGTAAAGTTTTAATATGCATATAATAATGCTTGATAAGTTGGTAAATTAAAATTAAAATGCATTACAGAAATGATAAGAGAAGAAAAAAACTGTGGCAAAATGATCATTCAAATGTTATTTTTCTTAATTGCATTTACACTCAAGACAATTGCGATTCCATTTTCATGAAATGTCCCGCAATGAATGTTCGAAATTCAATGTGCACATTGAAACTGCATTCCGAGCCGATCAATCTGTCAATCACTGTATCGGCAACAGGCTCGGCAACAGACACGTCATGTTATGGCTGTTACGTGTTTTGTGGTGTTGAAAAAATTGCTGCGGCAGAGATAAATACGAGTGTTAAATTCTTTAGCAGATGAAGAGGAGCGGTAATGCATTTCTGTAATGCAGTTTCATTTTCATTTTGCAATTTATAAAGCGTTTCAATAATAAAACTAGTGTATGATATGGCAAATACCTCCGTGACCAATTTAGTATGACCGGTAGTATTTCCGAAGATATTCTTTTGCCACAGTTTTTTCTTGAACATGTTACACATCATTTCTGTAATGCATTTGTTACACTTTTTGGAATGACGCAATGTCACTTCCGGGTGCAACACATTTATTTTTCTGTATGAAACATAAGAAAATACAATGCTCAAACAAGGAGCACATTTCTCTGCACATTCGCGCTTCATCTCGTGCTGGACTACTTCTACGCTGCTAACTAGTCAGCCACTCATGCGCCGCGCAACTCCCCAAGAGGTCCCCTGCTGGCGACTCCGAGTCTCACCAAATTGAACACAATGAAATAGTCATACAAGTCAACAACAATAATATGAACGGTTTGAAATTTAAAGGGGGGTGCTTTGATATCTGTCCCATTTTATATTCTTAGTGCTACACTTTTTCATTTTCATTTTGCAACTTATTAAGCTTTTCAATATGCATATTAAAACTAGTGCATCAAATGGCAAATGCAAATTATGTAATTTCAATTTCATTTTTCACCAAACGTTAAATGTAAATTTAAAAACAGGATGCAATGCCATTTCACATATTGCATTGTCATTTTACATTTAACATTTCAAATTGAATATTGCTACCCATATGCTTAATATTAAGCGCCCTTGTTAGATTATATTTGATGACGCTGATTAGCTCAATTTTATGTCATATCTTACGTTTATATCTTGAATCTTCTATCTTGAAGAGACAGAGAGAGAGAGAGAGAGAGTTCTTACCATTGTCGAGTAAAATGAAGACCACCGAGAGCGAATAAAAGAGAAGATTCATCTGCAGCACGTTTTGATTCTGATCATTCTGTTCTTCTGCATTAAAGGAAATGCAGTGAAATTAACATGAGAGCCTCCTTAATATGGAAATAGAGGGTAACGCAGCCACTGGAGAAATCACAATGTGAGCAGATAACAGTGTGGGTGTGTGACTTGATAGACCTTCTTCTTCTTGGAGTATTCCTGCAGTGTAGACGCGGCTGAGCCTATTACTGCCCTCCACTGGTCAAAGTGTGAACTACATTTTTACAGATAAGTCATGTGTTATACAAGAACTGAAGAACTAACCCTGGAGATCAGATTATATCGTCACTGTGTCCAAACAAAGATAAAAGATAAAAAGCCTTAACTCCAGGTCCTGCCAGTTTAACAAAGAATATATTTATTTCTGCATTCTAGGAAAACACAAAGAACTTATCCCACATCGAACCTACCACAATATACACACTTTAACCGAATCCATGCGGGACAAAAAGTTACATGAACATGTTTTCCTAACTTCAGGTTGTGTATAAAGTAGTGTGTACCCCTAATCTCGGGATTGTTCAGGTGTGGGAGAGTCAATATTGACCTCTGAATCTGAATCTGACTTGACTGTTGTTAGGCTTATTTTATTTTATTTGAATGTAAAGCTGTTCTGTGAGTATTAACTGTGAGGCTCATAAAAACAGCTGATTTTATTTCCCTAATTAATTAATGAACAAAAGGGTGAATGTTTGTTTCAGAGAGGACTGAAGATAGCAATGTGCTGAAGCGTTTGCTCTTGTTCATTTGTTTTTAATTCTCTATGCAATCCAGGAAAAAAAAAGTTTTGACAGACTTCTGTACTGAATTCAGTGTGCAGCCTTCTTGCTCGTTTTCATAAAAAGCAGGGCAGGAAGAAACTCTTCACCTATAGTAAACACACACACACACACACACACACACACACACACACACACACACACACACACTGAATACACTCTCACGTAGCCGATGGTTCAGATCACACCACATTGCTCAAGTACACCACTCATGGTTTCAGTCTGACTCAGAAGATGAACTTCAATACAACTGCTACTGGGATCACACACACTTTTAGCTTTTTACTTCATTTTTAAATGCACTAAAATTGAGAACTGAATAAATATACATAACCATCTTAAAATCACTCGAATTCATAGAGTTCACTAGATATTCCTCCTTTATCATTTAACACAGTCATACAACTACTTTTCAAAGAGTTAAAGTCTTATAAGGGCCAGATGAACTATAACATTATATGATGTTCAAATGCAGCGAGAGAAAGGAGGGTCAAGCCGTGTCGTGGGAGGATACACACATATAGACTGACACACACACACACACACACACACACACACACACATAGACAGAGTGTTTCCAGTGGAAAGTTTCATCACACACTGAACTACTGGAGATATGTTTCACATGTTTGTTTTGTTCTGTTTTTGCTACAGGAGTCTGACTGGTAAGTTATTAATATATATATATATATATATATATATATATATATATATATATATATATATATATATATATATATGCATTTATTTATTTATTTATTTCAACTAGAGTAATACAGAGACTGCCACATGCTCAGTAAAAAGGTTCAAATGCTGTTTTTAGAAACCTGTTGAGTTCATATCTGGGTTAATAATGGATTATTTTCTTAATGCAATAATAACCTGGAATATTTAGTCTGAAAATCAGATGCAGTTTGGTTATGTGCTTGTTTTAAATTTACATTTGTGAATAATAATAAGGATCAAACACGCTATGAAGGGGACACTGTTCTTAATCTGGGCAGAACAATCTGGTAATTGTCCTTTTTTTCAAAATTATTTTTTTTTTCAATTTTTTTAGCAATGTTTTCTGTCTGCGTGATTCTGACGATCTCCCCCTTAAAGAAAGTGGTTTATAAAGACTTTTACACATTTATTTTTCTTTTCTGCAATAGATGTCATTGAGACGTTTCTGGTAGTCAGTAAAAAAGGAAATTGAATATTAACATTGTTGATATTAATATTACATTGTATACATTGTTAATATTACAAACATTGTTTATTTCCAATGGCGAATCCGTCATGGTGGACAAAATAAACTGTAGATGAATTTAAATCCCAGGTTAGATTTATAATCCCTGATTTGTTCATCTGTGTTTAACATTAAGTGATGCGACAAACATTGAATGATCTCAAATCTACAGCTGATTTCAGGCTTTTGTAAATGATCAGAAACATTAATCTGTGTAAATCTGTGTGTTCATCAGGTGTGTTTGGTGATTCAGTGTCAGTGATGGAGGGAGATTCTGTTACTCTAAACACTGATGTTACTGAAATACATGAAGATGAAGATATACTGTGGATATATGGAGCTGAAAACTCTCTATTAGCTAAAATAAAAAAGAAGAAGCAAAACTTCTCCACATATGATGATGTTCCTGATGGGAGATTCAGAGACAGACTGAAGCTGGACGATCAAACTGGATCTCTGACTATCACACACACCACAACTGAACACACTGGAGTTTATCAACTACAGATAAATGGAGCAAAAACAACATCAAAAACATTCAATGTTTCAGTCTATGGTGAGTGAAGATCATTTGTCTTGTGTTTCACATATTCTTGTTTTATTAAAGGAATATTCAAAACAAGTTAAACAAACAGCATTTGTGCCATAATGTTAATCACTAGCAAAACTCAAGGTTAGGGTGAGGCGCTTATGACAATGGAAACTTTTAAAACTTTAATTTTTTGATATGTTTCATCTTACCTCAAGGGCATCCAAGATGTAGGTGTCTTTGTTTCCGCAGTATTTTCAATCTTGACATTTTTAGGTCAAACCGTTCTTGTCTGTCAGTCATATAATGCAGGTCTATGGTCACCACCTCAAAGAGCATGCGCAGAGAAGTCCAAATTAAACATGATTTAATGACTCGTAAATGTAAGTACACATTGATGGCCTAAGACACGAAACAAGCGGTTTGTGTGAGAAAACGAACAGTATTTATATCATTTTTACCTCAGCCACGTCCAACTGATCTCTCGCGTGTGTACGTCACTCATTGTTTACACAGAGATTTCGGAAAAGTTACCTTTCACTGTGAAGATCTAAACATATTTAGATAAACAGGAAATCGCAATGGAAGACAATTTCGATACATCAACAGACAATGTTGAATTTTTTTCGCAACCGTGTGAGAGTCTCCGCGCCCTCAGAGTGAGATTTCAAAGCGAACTATCCCTTTAAAAGCAGAAATGTGAAGCTTATCATTTTATAAAGGCATTTGCATTAATTCTTCTGTCAAACCTAGTTTATTGTTAAAGTTTAAAGGTACGGTACTGTGCTATTTCACAACGGCTAGCAATAACAGAGTTTGAAAGCATGAGATCCCACATTTCCTTCATCAAAACACATGAACACACGCAGCAGAGCGTCACGAGAGACGGCGTTACATTACCTCATGTCTCAAAGCCCAGAACATTACAATGCTGAACATAAACAACTAACAGAGCTCTACTCGTACCACATGACTGCTGCAGACTCATTTCAACGTTGATATTGTTGATATAGAAATGTATAAATCTGAGGATGAGAACAGCTCTGAGGAGAATATGATTGTCAAATAGATTTTGCTTTTGTTTCTCAGCTCGTCTGCCTGTTCCTGTCATCATCAGTAACTCTTCACACTGTCCTTCATCATCATCACCATGTTCAGTAGTGTGTTCATCATCAGTGTTGAGTGTGTGTGATGCGACTCTGTCCTGGTACGCAGGAATGAGTGTATTGTCCAGCATCAGTGTGTGTGATCTCAGCATCAGTCTCTCTCTACCTCTGGAGGTGGAATATCAGGATAAAAACACCTACAGCTGTGTGCTGAACAATCCCATCAGCAACCAGACTACACATCTGGACATCAACACACTCTGCAGACACACATGTGCAGGTACACCACCACTCATTAGATATATGTGTGTGTGTGTGTGTTTACTGATTCACTCACACTAATGTCTCTCTCCTCCTCCTCCAGTGTCAGTGTCTCTGATAGTGTTGATCTCGGCTGGATCTCTGATGATTGCTGCTGTCGGGATCTTCTGGATCTGCAAAAAAAGAAAAGAAAGAAAAACAGACGAAGAAGGCAAGAGTTACAAACTGACTTTAACTAATCATTGTGTAGCCTACAATATTTTAGTAGACTGGTCGCCATTTTAGCCGTAAATTATCATTTAAACATGTATTTTTGAACTTACCAGCTTCTAGATCACGTATATAATTCTGTGTTTGAATGAATGTATTATAAATGTATTATTACATTGAATGACGCTCTGTACTGGGTTTCAAATACTCTCTTCGTAACTTTTTAATGCATCTACTATTGTTGTTGAAACAGTCGAGACTCACGAAGACCAGCAGATCACTTACGCTGAACCAACGTTCTCCAAGAGAAACACACACAAATCAGTAAGACTATTTCTTTTTCTTAAGTGTGTTTGTATCATTTCTGCATCGAGTCAGATGGAGATCAGTGTTTTTGTCTGCATAATCATCATCACACACGTAACAGCACCATATCAGATAAGAGCATTATTACATGCAAGAAACACGTGTTACTCAGACAGAAAAAAACCCTTTGTATCACATTGCAATCTTTAGGATGAACCTATCACACCCATCATCACACTCATTGTTATTATCTTCTTTTATGTATTTTTTACAGGAAGTAAAAGAGGAGGATTGTGTGTTTTATACACCAGTCGCAATGAGAAAAGCATCAAGACCGAACTGTGTGACCAGCAACATCCTTCAAGTCTGAGTCTAGCTGAGCTTTTGGTGAGAATCAATCATCCTTTTCAAGTGTGATGCTTAAAGATGATTCATGAAACGGTCTCCTAAAATCTGCCAAAGAACGTGAGGACATTTAACAAATGATCTAAATCGTTTGGCCCATTGGAGAATGTAATGTTTGGGTCTTAAATAGACCATGTGTGTAAGTCTCATTAGATGCAACACACTCCTCAAGAGGTGAGAAGCTGCTGCGGTCTCGGTTATTGAAATAAACATGGTTTGATCTGCTGTGATGGACTGCATGTTCATGAGAAAGTGTCTTCTGCTAGATGTGTGTGTTTGATGTGCATCTGCTGTGAATAGTGTGTCTGTGAATAGACTGCGGTTGAAGGGCTTTTTCCATTCCAGGAACTGTTTGACTTCAGCTCTACACGATACCTGCTTTACAAACGCTGAGCTCATCAATACTGCTGTTTGACTAAAGGTCTTCAATTTTACAGAGATATTACTTCAAAATATGAAAATAGCATATGCGTTGTGTGCTTGGAAAATATCATATACTTTGTGTGCATATGCATCCTAATCATACTCATACTTTACCCCAACCTGTTTTTTTTTTCTGTCAATGTGTGTGGGAGTCATTTTAGCCTTTGTGCATCAATTACAAAAAAAGTTGCACAGGTCCATAGGACTTACTTAAGTTTGGTCTCATTTTAAAGAAGACCCGTAGCAGATTATTGCTGAAGTAGAAAAAAAATGTAAAATGTAAACCAAAAAAAATAAATAATAATTGCATAGATTTAAGTTTATGAAAATGATTTACAAACATTTTTTATATTAAATTTATATTTATAGTATATTATATTTATAGTATATTTTATGAAACACGTTGAACTCTAAAACAAGGTTCTCTGAGGTTGATTTTCAGTTTAAGATTAACTCTCAGAAAGATTTTGTTTTACAAATTATTCACGTAATATAATATGTTAAATTTTGTAAAATATATGTAATATATAAAATTTTACATATTTAAGCAGACTGAACACAATTAAATTAAGTTCGGGCAAAATGGCAGTTGGCGTCGTACTTTACTGTGGATGTAATTATTTTTTACTTAACATAAATGGTTTGTGTTTAGACAACATTAGGATTTTGTACTGTAATTTTTGACTTAATTATGTGGACCTTCATAAAAAAATAAACATGTCAACAAACACAATTATTATAAGTCAACTAAATATAAATATATAAAAGTGCACAACCTTCCTCGTTCATTTATTTATTTGAGTGTACTTGCACAAATCTTAGTTCCTGTGCTGTTTCGTACACACACGTTCTGCTTTCTTTTGTTTTTCTCTATTTGTGTTAAAGAAAACAATTATTGTGGCCTATATATTGTTGAATGAAGTTCTTAACTTCTTACCTTGTTGTTGTTGTTAAATTAATATGTTGTTGTCTTCTTTTGCCTGAAGGCTTTACGGTAATGAACAAACCCCCAAAAATAGCACAAGTTTCTCCAAACACAAGTTTAGACTTCAATGTTGTCTGTCGGTTCTGCTGGAGTTTCAAACCTAATGTGACCTTTAAACACTGGACAGGGCAACAATGATCTTGATTTTTTTTTAAATGTTATAATAATTTGTTATTTGCAAATATTAAAAAAAGAGAACATAACGAGATGTTTATACAACATCTGAGCTCCTTTATTCAGTTTTTTTATTTTGTCATGATTGACAGTAGCATATGATGACAATGCAGTAGGGGTCTAATGATTAGACACAAAAGGCTATAATAAATCATATCATAAAGGAGATTTAGAACATCCAAATGTAAAATATTGTGTCCACAGTGGGGTGATGTGCCACATGGGGGCGCTCCACATTATCAGATCCATTTGCTCTAAATACACAACAATGTGATTCTCAGTCATAATAAAACAGTTCTGTTCATTAATGTTGACGAGGCAGCGATCGTGACCATCCCGTGATTCCAGGTAACGATTAAATGAGTGGTGATTGAGCATTATTGAAGACAACTAAAGCAGAATCACTGAAGGAGAAAACTGCAATTTCATGTCACCATTATGGAGATCAGTGTTTGCTTTAGTTGGGCTCTTGACACTTATATTATTATCTTTAAATTTTGTTTGGCTGTTGCATCTGAGTTATACCTGCCAGATGAACAAAGAAAACAATTTATCTAATGGTGTTGGTTATATTATGACATTCATCATTTGAAATTTATGATTGTGATGTATGCTTTTGGTTGCATAAATATCCAGAATTTTAGATATAATATAATGGATCTCTTAAAAGTAAAAAAAAATTATTTCTTTTAGGCACACACAGACCTCAAGATTCAGTCAATGCATCTCAACAATGGTGATGAGCAGAATATTCAATTAGGAAAAGTAAATTACATAGACAATTCAGATCATAATTTATTCATGCTGCAATGCATGATGGGAGACATTAATGAGTTGTGATTGGTGGCAACAGAGATTATTATTGTCACCACGGTTGAGATTCACAGGCTGATTATTGATGTCTGTGTTTCTAAATAAAGATGCAAGTGATTTGATCAGAATAATTTTCATTAAATGTTTTGAATTAAAAGTAGAATACAGATATGCAGTAGAATCACTAAACTGTTGCTAATAAGTTAAACCAAATCATCTGAATAAGTTTAATTTTTCAAGATCACAGCATGATTGTCATAACATAACCAACACTATCAGATCACACTTTTCTTTGTTCATTTGACGGTTATAAATCAATAACAGCAGACAAACAATATATAAAGTGAAAGTATAAGGGTCAAGAGCCCAACTAAAGCAAACACTGATCGCCATAACGGTGGCTTACAATTTGTGATTTTCTCCTTCAGTGATTCTGCTTGTTATCATCAGGTGTCTTCAATAATGCTCAATCATCCCTAAATTAATCACTTAATTATCTCATTAACTTTAACACTCTTGAGTGTTAATTTAACAGTCATATCTGCATCATCATATCGTCCATCTGAAAGCAGGTGAAGGTGATTTACTACTAATCAAGGAACCGACTTTACTGATTAGATGCGCATAACAATATCGTGCGATATATCGCCCAGCCCTACTTCCAGGTAATCAAAATCATACAGGGACTTCATATTGCAAGCAAAACAGAACCAAGTACATATTATGTACAAGTTTTAATAACTAAATATAGATATTTATAAAGATATAAATAAACTTGCATGCCTGGGTAGCGTACACCATTGTCAAAGTAGTTGAAAATTTAAGTTGTTGATGATTCTGCATGTGTCAGATGTTGAAGCCTAAAACATTTTCTTCTTCTTTAGATGAAGAAGAGATGATGAACTTGCATGGTTGGTTTGACTCTGTCCTCATGCTGGAGTGCAGACTGTGGTCTGCCATGCCCCGGTCTGGGAGGTGTGATGGATTTTCACGATTAATACTGTTCCTAATTATACAATATCCCTTCCTTGATATTAATATAATCTTGCGGTAACTAAAGAGCCTATCCTTTACTCGTATCCTCAAGAATTAGGTGATCAGTCTATATAAATTCGTATTCTATTATCGAAATAATAGATTTCCCCTTTATATTATATACCTTTTGTGGTACTCTTCAACCTTATTCACATCATAACAATTAGTCATACATATATGTTTATATATAAAACACTTGTTATATGCTGCCTCTTTGGCTAGGCTATTTTGATCAATCAAATCTCATATGGGTTATTCTTATCTCACCCTCTGATGTCGTTCTCTTCAGATAGGGTCCTCCCGGCCCAGTTATAAGAGTGGTACTACTACTCAATGATTCAAGGTCCAGTCAGATGATTATAATAAATGTTACAAAATGTATTGCAATAATCAAATGAGAATGAATACTTGTTACAGATCATAAATGAGTACTAACAGGTGTGTACTAGCTAGGCTTGAAGCTTCTTGCGCCTGATAACTGCTGGCGTAGGTTGTTGGTTGCAAGGAAGAGCAAAGATCTCTCCTTCACCTCCTTTCTTTTATACAGAAAAATTAACACATAAGCAAAGGCATCGCTGTTGCACAGAAGCAGTTCACATTTTCCTTTTAACCCTTGTGCATCCTTATGGACATTTTTGTCCTTTTCAGTTTTGTTTTTTTGATCACTTTGCCTGTGTTAAAGCTAACTGCAAAAAAATTGGCACAGGTGTGTATTTTTATTGGAATTTTACTATTTCACCGTCATTTTCTTAAAAAAATATTTTTTGCATTAGGTACAAAAAATACTCCCTCTCAGCACCTTTTGGACAAAAATGTCCCCATTGAAACCCATTAAAACTGCCATTTTTAATCCCCGGTTCAGTTAACTATAAAATTATGCAATCTTTGTTAAGAGGCTTTCATTCTGATGGTAAGGCTTCAAATTTTTTTTTATCAGATAGTGTCATTTTTTTTAAAAGTTTGGCCTATAAAACAAATATCGCTTTATTCCTGTTTTCTGGTTCGGCATGCTATAGAGCCGACTGGATAAATTATGCAACAATATTTGTGTGGGTGTGTTGGTATGGATGTCAGAGTGTGGTTAGTATGTGTGTTATAAAAAATATGTATGTGCGCGCGCATGTGTGTGTGTTTATAATACTGAGAGAGAAAAACTGCAAATAACAAATCCAATCACTATGAGCTCCAGTGGGGTTTTGCTGGCACCCAGTGGGGAAAATATGTTACTACGCCCAAACAGTTACCGAAAGATCATTTTTTGAGATATCATCCTCAAATTTGGAACACAACCTATTTAGATTCATGGCTTTGATTTTATTGCAGTTTTGAGTTCAACCTGATTTATAAAATATATATTTTATATAAAATATTTTTATAAATAATTTTTAACTTATACATATAATACATAAACTTATACATATATAACTTTTTTTTGGATTTACTTATTATTATTTTTTTTACTTCAGCAATAATCTGCAATGGTTCTTCTTTAAACTGATACCAAACTTAAGTCTGTGCTCCAAAGTGTCACATTTTTATGAGTTTTTTCATAAAAATGAGGTTGTCCTCTTCAGTCAGTAAGGTTGCAGTTTCTGAGTTTGAAGAAAAACAGTCTGACTCCCTTTTGGGAGAATGAAACCATGGCCAATAGTGCTGGGCCCGGGGGCTTCAGGGGAGGGGGAGGGCCCCCCCCTTTCCAGTGTCAGCAGAAGCAGTTTTGTGGCCAAATGTGAAAAGCTCAAAAGAAGGTGGACCTTTGCAAGCAATGTCCGTTGTCTTCAAAGAACACTGGTCATATATTTTCTCTTCAACCTTACAATGGTAATGCGAAAATACTACAGGTTTTCTACTAATACAAAGCTTAATGCTAAATTCCTTTAAGTTACATGTTTAAATATACGGTTCAATAGAATGAAAGAACATTGTTTTCAGACTGTACCAGGAGCAACATTCAGCACTCATGACATGCACATTGCACACACCACATACTTCTGTAAACATAAATAGACATTCCATCATTGGACCTTGATACTTTAAGACCTCTATTTAAAGATCTTCTCCCCAAACAGAAGCCTGTTCCCTTTCACTAGATATGCTTCAGTAAACAGTGATGACAAAAGTCATTTTGGCACGTTAATTCACATTAGAGGTATTTCTGAAGTTGTAGGGAGGTCAAGCGTGTTTAGTGTTTAAGGCTAAATGCCAATTTCACTCGTATTGGTACCGATCACTGAAATTTAGAAATAGTGACAATTAAAGAGTTTCACCTGATCTTTTTCCATCATTTCCAAATTCTCTTCAGTGTTCATTTCAGTGCATCAAAATTATAAAGTCTGGATGTTCCATGTGCTCCACAGGAATGTCATGTGGATCAGGTCGTGGGTTATCAGCATCACCTGGATGTTGCATGTCCTCCACAGGAAAGTAATTGGGATCAGCTGGTGGGTCAACAGCATCCCCCTCCTGTAAGAAAACACAGATTCACAGAAGGTTAAAGTGATGAGAAGGACAGATGTTTCAGTTACACAAACACAAAAATACTGTGGTTTTCAGTTCTTCAATATTTAACACAGTCTATAAACCTGCATCAAACTGTCATCTCCTGTCCTTCAGTAATACAAAAATTGAAGTATTATGATTTCAATTTCACATTAAAAAAAATGCTTAAACTGTTATATTGGTGATTTCTAACAAAACACTGGCTCTCTGACAAAAGTTGCACTGTTGTATTACATGAATTGTTATTTAGTTAATTTGTGAGCATTAATTTGACTGCCTCACTGGTGAACTATAGTGTTAAAAAAATGACAAAAAATACTATTCACGGTTTACATTTATGTTTATATATATACTTGTATATATAATTATTCTCATATTTCTTGTTAAATCATCTGATATATAATACTTACATCCTGTGGTACTGGTGTATGTGTACCGTGGTGACGATAGTAAATCACAGCACCAGCAGCACCAACAACTGCAGAAACCAGCAGAAGAACACTAACAACTATTCCTGCTACAGCTCCTGGAGACAGACCTGACCCTGGAACAGATGAAGAGAAACAGACATTATTACTAGAGATTGACTGATAATCCATCCAGTATTTAACAATATCTTTGACTCATATTTACACATTTCTATTATATTATATATATTATATTATATCATCTATATTACACATACATCTTTCTGGTCATCAGTTGTATGATATTGAATTAACTTATAAATGGCACCTTCTCTTTATTTTAACAACAGCCGTTAAAATCACAATATTCACTGGAAAACTGCATTTATATTTTAATAACATTAATCAAAGTGTCAAACAGTTATTGGGTTGATTAAAAATATTGAACTGTTTTTCCTCAAAAGAAAATGCATTTAATGGCTGAATTATACACTCACCGATGACAGAAACACTGAATCTCTTCACTCTAGTGATGCTGAAGCTGCTGTTGATGAAGATCATCTGTAGTTGATATTCTCCAGAGTGTGTGTTTGTGGTGTGTGTGATGATCAGAGATCCAGTCTGATGATCCAGCTTCAGTCTGTCTCTGAATCTCTCTTTACACTGAACATCTGTACAGATCTGACTCTGATATCTAGTGATTTCAGCGATGAGAGTTTCATTAAAATACCACATCATCACATCACTTGGTTTTCTTATTACACCAGGATGTAAAGTAACAGATTCTCCCTCCTTCACTGACTCTCTCTTCACTTCATCTCGTTCAGCAGCAGAAACACCTGAAATACAAACCAACAGATGATTAAAGTTCTTTAGATGAAAGCAAAAAACATTTATTTCAAGACAAGTAACATTTATTTATATTTAGCGCTTTTTACAATCCAGATTGTTTCAAAGCAGCTTTACAGAGATAACAGGAAAATAATGCATCCAGAAGAAAATGTCATCACAGTCCAGCTTAAAAAGTTCAATGTTTGATACACTGCGCTCAATGTGATCAATGATTCACTGAACAAAATTATACATTTAACATATAATTATACATTTATTATATTACATTTCAACATTCACTAACTCACCATGAACAGAAACATTGAAGATATTTCCACTGATTCTGCTGGTGATGATCTTCAGTGTATATTCTCCAGAGTGTGTGTTTCTGGTGTGTGTGATGGTCAGAGATCCAGTCTGATGATCCAGCTTCAGTCTGTCTCTGAATCTCTCAGTGCCTTTATTACACTGAACATCTGTACAGAACTTACTGAGATCTCCATTGATTTGAGCGATGCGAGTGTCTTCAAAATACCATTTAATATCTTCTTGTTGGATTGTTTGAACACCAGTGTATAGAGTGACTGAATCTCCCTCCAGCACTGACACTTCATCGGATCCAACACCGGAAACACCTGGAGAAGAAATGAACATATATTAACAAATTCACAATATAGTTTAATCTGAATTTGAATCTCCCACATCAATAGTGTTTAGCTACATTAAATTTTAAATTTGGAAGAAGCTTATCTCATATTAGATTCAAGTTACATTAGTCAACACTTTAAAGTATGTGATTTATTGGTTCAGTATAACAAATATTTAACAGTTAATGCAGCATCTGTTTTGGCATCCTATCATTACATCATATGATGGTGCTATAATTCATTTAAGTGCTATTAAACCATTCAATCACACTAAGAAGGAAAAAACACAAATGTACTGGTGCATCTGAACCGGTTCTCTATGGATACTGAGGCTTTTTTAGGTCGGGTAGGATCTGTGATCTCTGACCCGGTTTGTTCATTGGCTTCCATGACTGTGAAATATGAAGTGTTTTTACACCAACTGGCAACCCGAGCTGTCGAAATACTACTGGGCAGAATCCCACAGACCAAAACATTATCAGACATGACGCGAAACACACATTTCAAAGAAGAATAAACGCCTGTCGCATTATTTCTATTAGAAAAAACTGTGAACAGTGTGTTTTCTACACTACATATCTGCAAACATATTATACTTGCATTATTTAGTGTAGTATTGCATACAGCTGGTGCTCTTCCATAATTTTTTTCTGACAAATTGTACATTCGTTTTTATTTTTATTTTATTTTTCTTCATCAGAATGGAATGAAACTTGGTTTTGCACTTGCTATGTGAACACACACACACACAAAAGAAAATCATGGACATGATTGGAACAAGAAATGGTCCTGAAGAAAAAAAAAAAAGAGTCACACTTGTGCTCTCAATGGGAGACGAACTCCATCTAGTGAAAACTTTTGGTACTCTATTAAATTTTAAACACAGCTTGTTTAGATTTATAGCTTTGATTCTCATTTTTAGAGTACAACGTGTTTTTGAAAATATTTATTTCACATATTGGAAATAGTATTAATGCACATTTTTAATAACAATAAACGTAAAATTTTGGACACCTCCATGGCCGATTTAGTATGACCGGTAGTATTTCCGAAGATGATCTTTTGCCACAGTTTTTTCTTGAACATGTTCACTGTAAAACCCAACAAGTTCAGCAAACTCATTTCATTTGAGGTAACTGATTACCTAAAATAATTTATATAACTTAATAATTTAATTTAAAGTTTATTAAAAACAATAGTTATGAGTGTGATGAGAATGTGAGCATGTGGTTGTGTTTTGACAATGATTTATGAAATCATTTAGTGTCTTGATTCTCTGATGTCTCTACTAATCTCTGATTAAAAAGGTGATGCTTTACTTGTATTACTCTTTATAAGTTACAGTGATTCTGCTGTAAGGCCAAATGTTGTGACCATCAGATTTTAAAAACCTCTATGGTTTCATACTGACTTACACATCAAGAATCAGTATATGAATCTCAACAGTGGTGACCTTTCAAAAACGATTCATGTTGCAATGAATGCTGGAAGCTGTGTATTGCGTTGTGTATTATGGTAGTACCCAGCATGCATTGCAGCATGAATTGTTTTTTCAAATGGTCACCATTCTTGAGATTCATATCCTGATTCTTGATGTCTGTTATTCATTGTAATGCAATATATTTTCTTGTGCACAAACGTTCTGTAAAATGCTCTAAATGATCTATAACATGGTTGTCTCTTATGCTATAGCAGCACAGCTCAGAATTAAACTAAGAATTTAACCTTTTAATCAGAGCTTAGACTCTGATTGAGATCAGTCAGTCAAGTCACTAAATGATCATCATTATTCCTTAACCAAAACCACCTTATCATACTTTTCCTTGACCTCTCTGCCATAACATGTGTGTTTTAAAACAGTTAATTACAGCAACCAAAGAAACGCATATGTGCAAATGTCAAGTGTCAAGAGACCAACTAAAGCAAACGCTGATCTCCATCATGGTGACCTTAAACCTTGTTTCTCTTTCCTTCAGTGATTATGCTTATTAACAGCAGGTTAAAATGCTCAATCATCTCTTAATTAGTAACTTAACTATACAATTATCATTCAATTATCACTCAGGGATCAAGAATGTTCCATAACTGAACTTAGTGAGAAAAAAAAAATCCCAGGATGTCTGTCGTAAGAGTAGGGGTGTAACCCCGGCATCCTGGCCAAATTTGCCCAGTGGCCCATCATGGCCTCCTAATCATCCCCATATATACTAATTGGCTTCATCACTGTCTCCTCTCCACCAGTAAGCTGGTGTGTGTGTGTGTGTGTGTGTGGTGGGCGTTCTGGCGCAATATGGCTGCTGTCGTGTCATCCAGGATGCTGCACATTGGTGGGTGTTGAGGAGATCCCCTACTTCTACGAAAAGCGTTTTGAGTGTCCAGAAAAGAGCTTTATAAATGCAATGAATTATTACTAATATTATTATTATAACTCATTATAACATTTGAGTTCTGTTTCAGTCTTTGTGTCCACATAGCTTTAGGTAATATTTGAGGGCAGTAAACACAATTTAATTTAGTGCAAACAACTGTTAGGTTTTACAGTGTTACATACATCTAATCATTTCTGTAATGCATTTTCATTATAATTTTGCAACTTATAAAGTTTTCAATATGCATATTAAAACTAGTGTATGAAATGGCAAATGCAAATTATGTAATTTTTTTTCACCAAACGTTGCTAGAATGTAAAATGTAAATTTAAAAACAGAATGCAATGCCATTTCACATATTGTAAATTTGATGTTGTATCTTGAATACGTTTATATCTTGAATCTTCTATCTTGAAGAGACAAAGAGAGAGAGACTTACCATTGTCGAGTAAAATGAAGACCACTGAGAGCGAATAAAAGAGAAGATTCATCTGCAGCACGTTTTAATTCTGATCATTCTGTTCTTCTGCATTAAAGGAAACGCAGTAAAATTAATATGAGAGCCTCCATATGGAAATAGAGGGTAACGCAGCCACTGGAGAAATCACAATGCCAGCAGATAACAGTGTGGGTGTGTGACTTTATAGACCTTCTTCTTCTTGGAGGATTCCTGCAGTGTAGACGCAGCTGAGCCTATTACTGCCCTCCACTGGTCAAAGTGTGAACTACATTTTTACAGATAAGTCCTGTGTTATACAAGAACTGAATCTGCCCTGGAGATCAGATTATTTTGTCAGTGTGTCCAAACAAAGATAAAAGATAAAAAAGCTTTAACTCCAAGTCCTGCCAGTTTAACAAAGAATATATTTATTTCTGCCTTCTAGGAAAACATGTCTCAAGACTCACACACTCACACAAGCCAAACTTCCTACAATGCACAAAGAACTTAACCCACATTGCCCCAACCACAATATACACACTTTAACCGAATCCATGCGGGACAAAAAGTTGAACATCTTTTCCTAACTTCAGGTTGTGTATAAAGTCGTGTGTACCCCTAATCTCGGGATTGTTCAGGGGTGGGAGAGTCAATATTGACCTCTGAATCTGAATTTGACTTGACTGTTGTCAGGCTTATTTTATTTTATTTGAATGTAAAGCTGTTCTGTGAGTGTATTAACTGTGAGGCTCATAAAAACAGCTGATTATATTTCCATAATTGATTTTATTTTTATTGTTTGTTTCAGAGAGCACTAAAGATAGCAATGTGCTGAAGCGTTTGCACTTTTTGCACTATGCAATCCAGAAAAAAAAGTTTTGATGGACTTCTGTACTGTAACTCCCCCGCCCCCACTGTTTAACTCCACAGAGAGAGAGGGAGGACACAAAACAAAAGCCTGTAGTAAGACTGGAAAAACTGGTTAAAGAGAAAATATCTGATCAGTGGTCTCTGAAGACAAAGGACCGTAAACTAGTTAACATGAACTAAGAACAAATAATACTTCTACAGCATGTATTAACGTTATTTCAACATTAATGCACTGTGAAGTAACATGAACACACAATTATTAACAACTGGATTTTTATTAAATAAAATTTCAAAATCAATGTGATGGAAAAAAAAAACAAATCGCATTGCATTCTACATTTACATTACCATTCTAGCAACATTTGGTGCAAAATTAAAAATAAATTACATAATTTACATTAGCAAAGTTTTAATATGCATATTGAAACGCTTTAGAAGTTGATAAATTAAAATGCATTACAGAAATGATAAGAGAAGAAAGAAACTGTGGCAAAATGATCCTTCAAATGTTATTTTTACAGTCACAATCAAGGCAATTGCGATTCAATTTTCATGAAATGTCCCGCCTTGCTTGCAAATTAACATTTGAACTCACATACATACATATATATATATATATATACACACATGTATATAATTATTATATTTTGAATTATTATCATTAAGGATTATGTTTAGAATCATTTTTAAAAGGTCTCAGGGTGACTGGTACAGATGTCTCATTCCCAAAGAAGTAAAACAAAAGGTAATAAAGTTGTTAAGAATATAGAAATTTCTTGTACACAGAAGGGTGTGTCTTTGAGTTGACACATCTGGTCAGTTGTCTTGAATGCAAATTACCACTAAGCAAATGTTGACTCAGCGTTAAATAGCTTTCCATATGAAATGAGGTTTGGCTATATAAGGAAAATGCAGCGGGAGATCAAGGCTTTTGTCTGTATTCAGATTAGCCCGTGAGGGCTCTCAGCTCATCATATACGACTCTCAGCTCATGTAGACACACAAGGTCAGGTAAAATATGTTCTTTGATGGTTTGCATTGATTATCTTTAAATTGATTATGGAATTGTAATAATACATTTACCTGACATAATAAATTGTCATATTTGATTATTCTAACAGACTTTGACTTTATTTTCATTACAGCTGAAATAGTCAAACATTATTGTAGATTTAATGATGCACAGATATCATTGATAAAACTTTTTCATTTTATGGAGTCAGATGAAACGAGATAATACACAAGATTAAATGTATTGCATTTAATTAAAAGTCCCTTTGCCATGAGAAGAGACGGTACACGCGTGAAACCTTCGTCTCAAATTGAACACCGCCTTTGGATCGATTTAGTAGGTCTTACACCGTCAACTGAAAAATGCTAATTTGGGAATAGAAGCAGGAGCAATCAAATAGGTATAGATATATAGTGATATTTAGTGATTAGATATATATATAGCAAATATAGTGAAAAGGGATGAAAATATTCTGATCATCAGTCAAACTTCAGGATAGTAAGATGAATCATAAATTTGATAAAGATGAAACAATAATACTATATCAGCAGTACAGGCTTAATTCATTACCTTTACCTTTCTATAGTTAACATTCATTCTCTAACTCAGGTTTATCTCCCTCAAAAGTGTAAACATTGAGTCTCCCCGTCACCATCAAAACACTGAGAGCGTTTAGCACAGATCTGTCGACCGATAACATTTTGTGGTGTGTGTGTGTATACTTTAACAGGTGGTGTCAGCCACTGTGGTTACAGACGTGCAAGACAAAATTAGCTGCATTTAGAGCTTTAAAGATTAAACAGGTAATGAACATATTAAAGTGAATGCATCATTATGATCAAATGTGCAATAATGCACGCAAACATCATCATGGATACCGTTCAGAAGGACAAATGAACTAGTTCATGGTTTACTTTGACGTGTCCAGACAGACTCAAACAGTCGTGGTGGCTACTTTTGCAATGACTGAGTTGGAGAAGGTGCAGTGTGTGTTAAGTCAACTAAACTGTGTCAGTCCAGAAAAAGATGCATTTAGAAATCTGCTACACCTTGTAAATGAGTCCTGTTGACCTGTACCTGCTCGATCACTGGTAAGAGGAAGAACAGAAAGACAGGATCTAAAACACAGAGAGGTACTTCAGTGAACAGTGATTTCTTCATTTTTCATCTGGTAAATAAATACTGTTGTTTAAAGCCTGAGACACACCAACAAACAAAGCTGACTGTGTTGTTGCCTCTCGTCGGCAGCCAGAAAGCTGTGCTTGAACACACCAAAAGGCCTAAAGGCCCGATATACTCACAGCAAAGCTCTTTTTCGGTTTTCATTTAGGGGTGAAACAAAGTTCGAAATACGCGAGATGTGAAATACTGTTATTGAACGTCTGATGCTGCTCACACTGCTGCATGATGGTTAGAGGAATATGCAAATGCATGCTTACACTATTCTCTGGACAACATAACAAACATACAACAAAACTGAGAAAACAGCTAGCATTTTACTAAAGCATAAGAAAAGCATCTGATCGCATTATGGATATGTTTGCACAAGCTCTGCAATTCAGCACTCCCTTAAAGTCACGTCACATTTTTAAAAATTTATATATACATCACTTAAAATCAAGCAGCTTTACCGTATTAAACATAAAAAAAGTGTCCGTGTCTTGTTTCATCAGAAGTACAACTTAATTGTCCACTATAAACAGCCGTGTGCTCCTGTTTTTACAAAAACGGCTTCTATGGGGCCGTAACTTAAGATACAAAGTAATGGAGCGTTTTATACATTGCCGTGTTTCTTTAGAAATAAATAATGGACAAATTAAGTTTTTAAACGCCTCAGATGTAAAGTTATTCGCTGTCAAAGTGACGCCAAAATGAATGGGAGTCAATGGGATGCTAACAGCAGGTGATAGCCAGCTATAATGGTGGCTCCCGCGAGGCTTCAACTTCCGGCTGACGGATTACCCCCTTGTGTTTGAGCCTCAGATGGATTTTATCTGAAAATGATGCGTCTATTCGCGTCTTTGCATTGACTTTAATCTACTCGCGCAAATAATTAAATTTGCGTTATAATAATTAAGGCGGGGGGGTTAGGCTGGTTGTTTTTAGTTAGATGATTATTTAACAATATTTTTGCCATAGCATTCTTAAAGCATTTGAAGCAGGCAGCGTTGTTTATCAATCAAGTTACATTTAAATACAGTTCTATAGAATGAAACAACATTCAGATTCAGATTCATTCTTTATTCTTCTTAATAGAGGACATTTGTTTTCAAAGGCTTTAGCAGGAGCAACATTTAACACACATAACATGCACATACCACACAGAATTTTGTACAAATAAATAAACATATTCCACAAAAAAAACATATAAAGTTAATAAATAAGGCATTCTGTGAATTCAACACTCAGCTGAGTGTTAGAGCTTGTAGCTGAGAGTACCAAACTTTTTGGCGAATGTTTGGTGATCAAGTGGGGGAGAAGAACATTATTGCATAAGCAGATCTAAACCTATGGTTTACTATTAAATTCATTCGTTCAGTTTATAAGCTGTCAGATGAGACCAGTAGATAAACAGCATGTAGTTGAAAGCACACGTGTCCTGTGAAGGAAATGGTACACGTGTCATTGCGTTGCAAACAACTATCAAAACAGAGGCATCCTGTGCCTGGAGCGATGTTGAAAACATGTTGTTTATGACAAGTAGTAAATAAAATGTATATATATATAAAAAAAAAAATGTAATAGTTTTTTTTAAGCAACACAAAAATTGTGCTCGTTACTATAAGAGCGCTGGCAATTTCGATGACAACCTGGAACATTTATTGATCGGCGAAAGATGCATCACCATTTTAACAGCGTACTGGCAGTTCACTCTATGGGCGAGGGGCATTTGGGAAGGAAGAATAGGATTCCGATCCCATCCGGTACCGTGAACTATTACGTTACATCAGGGATCTTTTCCCCTCAGCCGAGTATCAAGGATTCGAGTAACGTTATGCGTTGAAATTGTAACTAGGCTAAATAAAACATTTGATGCAGACATTGTCAATGGAGTAGCTTAACATGCCAGTGATAGTCGAATTTTGAAATCCAACATGGTGGCGCCCGTGTAACGAAAACAACGTTTTCAACATACCATTTTATCCCTTTTAACAAATTCTGCCATTTTAATAATTGTACCAATGGAAATCAATACAATACATCTGTTATACATCACCTTTTCTCAAATTTCAGTTCAGTGATCTTTAAAGGGATTTCTGGAGTTGTAGGGAGGTAAAGAGCTCTAACCATTGCTCAGCCCTACAGTCATGTAGTGTTTAAGGCTAAATGTAAACTTAATGTATTCACAAATACAATTCTACAATTTCACTGGTACTGGTTATCCTGGCTAACGCCAGACCATATCATTGAGATTGAGACGTGGTCTGTGAACCACATGTTCATTTTCTCGTATTTGAGGCTGGATTACGACTGCCCATAGACGTTTATTGGGTGCTATGTAGGGATGTAAACAGTTAATCGATTATTGATTGATTGTCGACAATTATTTACTCAATTAAATTCATGGTCGGCCAATCGAACATTGCGAACGTGACACGAGATTCCCACGCGAGAGACCCGACACAAACTTGAGGCGGCAGAAAAGAAACCAAACATGAGGTGGTCAAAACAGAATGGACAGCGTGCTAACCTCGAAAATCCTGCTGTATTCTAACAATAACTTACCTCTCCTTATTAGCTAGGCTCCGTGCATGCTGGCTAATAACTTTTTTAAAGCTGGGTCTCAAACATTAACAGCGCTGAGTTAGTCAGATTTGTGCAGTGGTCTTCCATGAGGAGAGAGAGAGAGTGTGCGAGGTATGGGTGAGTGAGAGCACGAAAGATAGTGCTGCGCGACTAACCTACAACGCTTTGCAATCAAATATGATTTTAAATAGGCTTAGTAAAAAAAAAAAAATAGTAAAATCAATGTGTGGCGATCAGCGTTGATATTGTGAGGGCCCGCCACAAATAAATGGACGTATGGGAAACTCTGCCTCTCTAATTTTACTGTCACTTTGCACAGGGATGATTTAAGTTGTGTTCAGTTCTATATTTTAAGTTTCCATGTCAAGTAATTTTACTTTTACCTTTCTCAGACCGAGGGGGATTATAAATGATGCTGCTAATGTCTGTATTGGCAACTGTTACAATTAAACATTAATTAAATCGTGCCGTGCAAAAGCAGCATGGGGAAACCCAGGCTAGGTATTGGTACCGACCACTGAAATCTTGTAATCGTGACAATTGGCTCTATGCACTTCCTGAACTTCAGCCAGCTCCTTGTTTCCTGTCTGCCATTATTGGCAAAACTTGATTAATTCAGGTGTGTCTTGTAATGGATTTTTTCCCTGAACCTGACTACTCTACAATAATACTCACTCTAGTTGGCCAAGTCTTATACTTTTACCTCAGCGCGTCTACAGTCGACGTCCTGCTGAGCTATAAACCTACCCTATACCCTAGCGCGTCTACAGTCGACGACCTGCTAGGTACTAATCCTATAACCCTGCCGCGTCTACAGTCGACGTCCTGACAGGTACTAATAATTCTAACTTACTTGTTCTTGCTGCGCAGCAGCAGCTTAAATAACAGACAGACTCCAGCAAATGTCCTTTCAATGCTTTTAATTACGGCCAGGAGAGTTCTCGAGCAATACTCAGAGAACTTCCCAAGTAAAAACAAGGCCGGTGGATCTCAGACAAATTCCATTGAGAATCCCCCCGAAAACACTGACACAACAGTTTTTATACAATATGGAGGCATGCCATAATGACATTAATTTCATTGGTTCTTCATAGGTAGACTGTTTTGTTACTGGGTAGAGGAGACTTTGTTTTAATGTTTCTAACTTAGTCATCTGTCTAGTTCCATTTCCCATATTTGTTATTTATACACAGTCAGGTGTTTGACACACATACATTCATCTCAGGACATTGTATCAGAGATTTGGCTGGTTAAATGAGGTCAAATGTCGAAACATGGTTAGCTTAATATTCAGTTTAAAATTTTCCACCACAGTCTGCTTATTGTTGCCATGACTACTGAGGTCAGGCACACCTGAGTTAATCAATTTGTCCAATAATGGCAGACAGGAAACAAGGAGCTGGCTGAAGTTCAGGAAGTAGTGCAGCTGTGCATAAATCCCATTAAAGAGTTTCAGCTGATCTTCTTCCATCATTTCCAAATTCTCTTCAGTGCTCAATTCAATGCAACAAAATTATTAATAATGTTGCGTTGTTTTATTGGGAGCCTCAGCCTGAGTCTGGATGTTCCATGTTCTACAAATGATTTTCATTGGGATCAGCTGGTGGTTTATCAGCATCACCTGGATGTGCCATGTCCTCAAAAGGAAAGATTTCCGGATCAGGTCGTAGGTTCTCAGCATCACCTGGATGTTCCTTGTTCTCCACAGGAATGTCATTGGGATCAGATGGTGGGTTATCAGCATCACCCTCCTGTAAGAAAACACAGATTCACAGAAGGTTAAAGTGATGAGAAGGATAGATGTTTCAGTTACACAAACACAAAAATACTGTGTTTTATGGGCAGAGGTTTTCAGCTCTTAAATATGTAACGCTGTCTATGTAAGAATTGAGAAATTAGCAAATGCAGGCAGTCTCCATGAGAAGCAAAGGCCCTTTCTGGAATTCTGAATACATCTCTTTCCCTCCTCCTCTCTCATGCTGAGATCACCTGAAACACAAAACCTATGTTTTATATATATATATATATATATATATATATATATATATATATATATATAAAAATCTATGTTATATATATGTATGTATATAAACATAGATTTTGCGTAAATTTTAATTTTAGGTGATCTCAGCATGAGATCATTTACCCCTCTATATCATTTAAATATATATGTATGTATGTATATATATATATATATATATATATATATATACACACACAAATGATTTATTTATTGAATTTTTCACAACAACAGAGACAAACACTCAATTAAAAAAAAAAATAATAATAATAATAAAAAAACAATAGAAAAAAACACTAACAAGTTTAGTACAGTATATAATATAACAGAACTGTAATGACATAGGCCAAAGTAAGCCTTAACTAGGTCCAGTAAGTAAAGTTAAGTAACCCAAAAACTTGGTAAATAAAGTGTGCTGTGGGAATAACCAACACACTGGTGGGTGGCCAGTCAGTCAATTGGGACTGCATCCAGCGGCAGAGATTTAGCATGATCTAAAAAGGGGTAACCAAATGCTTGAAAATCTAACCATGGAACCACAAAGGAAGGGTTGAATTTTAGCAAAAAATAATGCATCTTTTATCCACCAAGTTCTTTTATCCAGTTTATCAAAATACATTGTCTTGCTAGCAGCGTAAGAAAAGCTACAGACTCAGCAAAATGGGACGGCAACGAGTAATCAGGAGGTAGGACTCCAAACAAGCCGATTAGCAAATAATGGTTTAAAATGTGAATAATTATCATACAATATTAAACATGTTTGTTGTCATTTGAAATGTCTGAGTGCGATTAGTACAAAGGTCTCATTCTCAAAGAAGTAAAACAAAAGGTAAAGTTTTTAAGAGTTTCAGTTTAGAGATAACTTGTACACAAAGGAGGGTGTGTCTTCCAGGTAAATGGTCTCCTGGTGTAACGATTCACTCGTTTTCTCGATGCATCGATTATAAATCCTGGCGATGCATATGCATCGATCCTGAAACATGTATTTTGAATCGTGAATCGCTTATTTACGTGAATAATCGATTTAAAAGGCTAAGAATCGAATTAATCACGATTTTATAGCGATTCAGTGGTTTAAAATATATAAACACAACCTTAAAGTGTTCCTGGTACAAGCTGCCTCACGCATTGGCCGTCATACGACATCCGCATTTGATTGGTTTCAGGCGCTCACACACCCCTGATTTCTCACGCTGAAGCCCGGTCGGTCAAATGCCTGAAAGATGAGTTTATCTTTCTACCTGTTGAGCTACTCATGTCGTGATCAGCTTGTATTACCGCAAATTAGTTAAAATCTCCCGGAATCTAGAGCGAGCGTGCATACGAGACAGAGGTTGTGCTCCAAACCGCGTATCGCGCGTTCACACACGGCTGCACGCACTCGGCAGAGAGGGAAAGCGAGCGAGAGACCACCTAGCGTGTACGGAGAGTCCATGTAATAAATGAATGAAAGCGTTTTATTTCATAGTGCCCACGCAATGGCATGGCAGCTTTATCAATGGCTTGAGCGGTTTGCCTCAAAACTATTGCTTTCTCGACAGAGAGCTCAGCTGGAGATCGAGCTCAAACATGGACTGCTCAAAAATCTGTAGTTAACGTTATGAAAGCATGAGAGCTATGGGACCGAGCGCGAGCAAAATCCGGTGAAAAGGTGATAACGAGTGCACTGAGAGGACGCAAAATGAAACTAATGAAAACGTCTCCATTAATTTGTGCATGTAGTCATTTAATGCAATACTTTAAAAGCCTTTTTCAAAATATTTGCTACTTGCAAATGCTAATTTGTAGGCCATTGATTTTTTTTTTAATAATATATTCATTAAAATTAAAAACAAACATGAACTAACATTAACAATGGACAAAATCCCCACTATCTGACCCCCGAAGGCCGCTGTGTAGGCTAATTCAAACCCAGACAAAGATGGGTGAAGCATTGAAATAATACTATAATGCATATAAAAAATTAAGAATCGAATCGAATTAATCGAATCACATCGAATTTGGATGTGAATCGAATCGAATCGTTCTGAATTTGCACAAATCGTTCATAAATCGAATCGAAAACCTATGAATCGTGAATCGAATCGATTCGCTGTCTACCCAAAGATTCACAGCCCTATTGTTAGCACATGTTTCCATGTGAAAGAAGGTCTGTCTATATAATGAAATGCAACGAGAGGCTCGGCGCATCTTGTAACTCAAATTTACCCCGTGATGACGAGTCGGCACTCCCCGTCTTGTATTAAGAAATGTCGGGTTTAACCTACATCTTTTACTCTTTATCTCTGAGCATTTGTGTGGCGAGCAGGACGAGGCCGAGGGACGTGAGAGAATGCCGTGAGGTCAGTGGCGTGATTAATGAGCGACACCTGTGAGACGCACCGGTCTCGAATCTCTCACAGAGGAGCTGAAGCATAAAGGAGGAGCGACGACAGTGGAGATCGAGAGAGGAACAGGCCTGAGTTAATGTTGTGTTTTGTGTGGCAGCAGTCGTCTGTGAGGAGCTGCTGGCTTATACTTGTTTATTTAATTTATTAAAAGTGTTCGCAGGTTCCCGCCTCTTTCTTCCCACTTGATGTTATTGTATTGATTATCTTTGAATTGATTATGAAATTGACGTGATAATTTTACCTGACATAATAAATTGTAAACATTTGGTTTTATTCTAAATGGCTTTGACATTATTTTTAGTAAAGAATAGTCAAACGTTCGCTCACATTTAATGAAGCACAGATACTATTAAAACCTTTTCATTTTGGGAGTCAGGTGAAATAACGAGTTGATGCATGAGAAAATGTATTTCGTTTAATCGAATTACTTTTAATCACCCGCTGATTGGATGCCTCCATTGGGCTGATCGAGCCGGGCCCTACATCTATAAACTACATCAAACTGTCATCTCCAGTACTTCAGTCATACACAAATTTAATTATCATTTCAATATCACATAAAAAAATGCTTAAACTGTTTTCTAATTTGATTTCTAACAAGACAGTTGCTATCTGACAAAAGTCACACTTTATGTTTTTATGTTATTTAGTTAATTTGTTTTGGGGTGTTCAAGAGTTCAACCCATAGCGAACTGCCAACGAACTGCCTACCCATTCTGCCTCACCAGTGAACTGTAGTGTTAAAAATAAAGGACAAAAAATACTATTCAGTTTACATTTATGTTTGTATACAGAATTATTCTTATATTTACTGTTAAATCATCTGATATGTAATACTTACATCCTGTTGTACTGGTGGTGCATTGTTCTCGTGGTGACGATAGTAAATCACAGCAACAGCAGCACCCACAACTACAGAAACCAGCAGAACAACAGCAACACATATTCCTGCTACAGCTCCTGGAGACAGACCTGACCCTGGAACATCTACAGAGAAACAGACATTATTATTAGATTGACCGATAATCCATCCAGTATTTAACAATATATTTGACTCATATATTATCCTGTAGCATCTGGACCAATCAGACACACAAATTATTCATTTACAGTATTTGATGAATAATCCAGCAAACTCACTCTCCCTAAAAAAGGTCTGTGAAACTTTCCCTAAAACTAACATCACAAATGAGGCTAACACACTGGCAGAACCTGGTGTCCTGTTACAACACACACATCAAGACTGATAAGTATTTTACAACTCCAACAGTAATTTGCAGGGAATTGTGACTCTCACTTAATTCTTGCTAAGGAGAAATCAACCTACAGCTATTTCCACTATTGACATCACTCTTTATTTTATATAGGCTTACACACATGAGAGCCATTTACCTATATGCGAAATTGCCTGAATGTTAGTGCAAATTCCTTCTTTGTTAAGACATTAAGAATGAAATTGCACAAAATAATAAATTGCCTCAAACCATCAAATCTAGGAACTCCAGCTACGGCGTGTGATTGTAGGGCTAATATTTTTAAGTTAAGCAGCAGCAATGGTCTTGGCCACATACATATTGATAGCTAGTGAAGTGATATCAAAGCAAATGACACAGCCTGAACGTACCAGAGAAATGGTGCAGCCCAATGGGGAGTGAGTATTTCAGGAGATAATTTCCTAAATTGTTGGTATGTGATGGTAATACGGCATTTAAATACATACAATTTGCATAGGCTAAGATGCCCCCTCCCCAACTGTTATTTTCAACCCATTTGGTCCAAATCTCATCTGGTTATTTGAACTATGTTTGTAATGTTAACGTCAACTTTTAATCTGATTAACTGATCCAAATATGCATAATCAATTATAACAAGTTATGATTGATTATTAACAATACTTAGAGTTAATTTGCTACAATACATACACCTTTCTGGTCATCAGTATGATATTAAGTTTAACTTATAAATGGCCCCTTCTGTTGTTTTTAACAACAGCGTTAAAATCACAATATTCACAGGAAAAAAATGCATTTTTCATGTTAATAACATTAGTCAAAATGTCACTTAGTCAAAGTTTGCTTTTATTGGGTTGATTTAAAAATATTGAACTGTTTTTTTCCTCAAAAGAAAATGCACTCACCAATGACAGTAAGATCGAATCTCTTCACTCTGCTGATGCTGAAGCTGCTATTGATTATGCTGATCACTAGTTGATATTCTCCAGAGTGTGTGTTTGTGATGTGTGTGATGGTCAGAGATCCAGTCTGATGATCCAGCTTCAGTCTGTCTCTGAATCTCTCTTTACACTGATCATCTGTACAGATCTGTCTCTGATCTCCAGTGATTTCAGCGATGAGAGTGTTATTATAATACCACGTCATCACATCATGTGGGTTTTTTATTACACCAGGATCAAAAGTAACATATTCTCCCTCCTTCGCTGACTCTCTCTTCACTTCATCTATTTCAACAGCAGAAACACCTGAAACACAAATACACAAATAATAACAAATAACAAATAAATAACAAATAACAAATTTCTTGACTTTCGATCTGAAAAGAAACAATTTGTTTTGTTCTCAAACCCATTTGACATATTTTATATAAAATCCTCACTTATACTGATAATAACAGAAGCTGATTAGAGATTGTGTGATCAAACAATCTGAGCTCAACTGCAGAACTAGGAGTGTGGACAAGGGGTGGAGGGGGGATGCTGTAAACTGTCAATGGATCGAGGGAAGACTGCTGAGTCTATTTGTAGCGTCTTATCATTGATTGCTGTCCACTCGTGTTAATTATCTGAACGTGCTCTTCCCGAACTTAGTTATAAAACTTCATTTCAAGTGTTCACACTTGCATATAATTTTGAGTGAGTAAGATTCAATGCGTATTTGGCGTGCTGTCCGGAGGGAGGGTACGAGCTCGGAATTCAGCCCAAACCCAGAGTACTGCCCCCAATAGGCTAAAGAGCAGAGGACAGCCGCCAGACTAAAGACCCCCAAATGAGTGCCGAGATAGGCGGGCTGGGATTTCGAGAAGGGGCCTGGATGCTTGATCGGGGAGGCCCGAGATAGTGGCTCACTGCCTGGACTGACGGCCCCTGTTGTCTGAGAATGAGGAGCAGTTGTAGTGTACTTGTCCACGAGGTTTTCACACTGCATCCGCTGTGAGACCAAATGCTCGCTAAAATGAAAGAGAAAACGTGAGTGCTCTACCGGGAACGTTCTTGCTCCATCCACTGTGAGACCAATGTCCGCTGGACGGAAAGAGGAAAACTGAAAAGTGGAAAAAATGAGTGCTTGCCCAGGAGATTCTAACACTGCATCCGCTGAGAGACCCAATGCTCGCTGGATGGAAAGAGGAAAACTGTAAATAGGAAAAACTAAGTGCATGCCCAGGAGATTTTCTCACACTGCATTCGCTGTGAGACCAAATGGTCGCTGGATGAAAGAGAAAATGTAAGTGCTCTACTAGGAAAGCTCTCACTCAGTCCGCTGTTAGACCAATGCTCGCTGTACAGAAAGAAACAGTAAAGAGGAGTTTTTGGGGGGTTTTCTACCACAGAACAGATTTGAGGTATTTCTGGAACCCAAAACATGTCACAGGTTTTTTGCATTTGTCTAAAAACTGGGGTTCCAGAGGAGATTTAGCCTGGGAACTTCATTGCAGATATGTCAGAATTGACTGGTATGGTTGGATTTGCGAAACGAGGTTAAAAATGTAAATGAAATGACCTTACTTTGTTTAATCAAATATGAAATGGTTTCGTCATCAATTACTGATAAGTCTGAGATGGTGGGGTGGATTTTTGGGTCGAATTTGGAAGTGATGGTGATTTCTGAGCATCTAAGAAAACCAAAAATAGGATAAACATGGCATCGAGTGTGTGAGCGGAACTGAGGGGCTGGTAGCCTGTGCGGAAATCCTGAATACATTTGGTGAGAATGTCCAGCGCTATGGGTTGTCTGGCATCGGGGCGGGTGGGCTGGGATCTTTGAATCCCTTTAATCAGGAGGGAGGTTTGTGAATTGTTTATCTCCACGGAAGGAGCGCCGTACATCAACTTATGGAAAAACTGGATGCCGCTCAAATTACCTTTAATTGACCCGACTTGTAGGCCCTCAATGATATTAAGGTAGGAGATCAAATAGGTGATTGAAAGAAGAGAAAAATCAGGGAAAGGCAAGTTATGAGAGACATGGAATGTTTTCAACATCTCCAATCAGTAACGTAGGATTGAAGGGACACTGCCTGGAGGATACCACCGAGTAATGCTTCGAGCAGGGGTTTTAATGGGTGGGTTACGGGAATATTAGTTCTAAATAGCGAAGAACTGGAGATGGGAATTGATACGCCTCTGGAGCCAGCATCCTGAATTTCTGAAACAGAAAACGAGACAGGGAGTCGTCGATTATTATTATTATGCGTGAAATATTCACAGGAGTCATCAAACAATTTTTAGATTTTTTTTATTGACACAAAAGCTGCAGATGTGCGTATACCGGCAGCGTGCTCTTTGACATTTGCCTGTGCTGAAATAATTACAGGGCTGCCTGCTATCATCAAAAACAAAGTCCTGAATTGTGCGGGTGGTTGCTGCCCGTGGCTCATAGCTGGTGGATTTAGCATTGCTTATTCCCACGTAGGGAAGAGAGGTAGGGTTAAACCCGAGGACAGCGCGAGTTCGGCAATGATTGCTTGACAATCGTTCAGTTCGCGCCGCCTGTGGGGGAAGGCTGAACAGATGATTTTAGTTAAACGTGAAAAAGCGATCATGAATTCGGGAAATGAAAAGATGCGAAATGAGTGCATGTTTATGTTTTTTAGGGTAACCGAAATCCACTTGGCGGTCTCATTCAACAACAGAGAAGAGAGGTCTACATCCGTACCTGAGAGGATCTCAGCGAGGATGGATTGAGAAACTGGTGAGGGTTCCATAGCAACAGCGTTGCGTTGGGTGGCATGGGCATCGGAGTGGCTGTGACAAGAGAATATGGTGATTTAGTTTGTATGATAGAGCTGGGAAGGGTATAATCCAGGGCTGCGAATGTCAGCGGTGCCCTTGTGCTGTAAATTGAGAAGAAAAGTTAGTTGGAGGATGTGAGGGATGATAGAAAGCAGTGTGAGCTTGGCAAGCGGAGGCGGGTCCACGCTTGTTTGAGTTACTGGAGCTGAAGGCCACTGGAAGCGGGTGGGGTTGTAACCCATTGGGTAGAACTGTTGACATTGTTGGGTCTGTGATGCTAGCGGCGACAGCTTCGCGCTAGTGTCTGAAACTGGAACTCAAGGCCACTGTAAAGGAAAAGGGTTATGTACAGCGGGAGAGTAGAACTGAGTGGCTGTGGGGAGGCCGCTGGGCCCGGCTGTATGTGGCGCTGCGGCGGCGGAAGCAGAGGTGGAGGGCTGGGCCTCATCGAAAGGTGGTAGTGGACCTGCCGTGATGAAAACTGAAGCTCGACCCTGGCTTGCTGAGGGCCTGTTGCTGCGGCGGCTCGATGGGCGAAGTGAGCCGCGTCCTGTGCAGGGAGACGAGGGTGGTGACTGGGCAGGTTAATTTTGGGTCCTGCGGGCTTTGCTCTGCCTGTGGGTCATCTTGGGAGTAACTTTTAAGGAGAAATACAAATCGTACAGCTCCGCTTTATTCAGTTTTCTCGAAGCTTGTAAGTCTAGTCGGGACCCTACCCCTTGGCCCTATAGGGCAGAAAAAAAGGTACGAAAGCTGTCACTGGGGCGGTACCTTTTCAAAAGGTACACTTTTGTACCTAAAGGGTGCATATTGGTACCTTCATGGTACATATTTGTACAATTATGGTACCAATATGCACCCTTTAGGTACAAAAGTGTACTTTGTGAAAAGGTACCGCCCCAGTGACAGCTTTCGTACCTTTTTTTCTGACAGTGTACCCCTCAATTTTGCGTGTTCACGTCTAGGGGTATGGCCAAGGGTTGAATTGGGATTGAGTCATCCAGTCACCATTGCTGCCGTTAGACCATTTTTCACCTTTGAACCATCTGTGAATATAGGTACAGTATGTGAAAAGGGAATTAGTTTTTTAAGTCCAAACATTGCTGTCTATATACAATTGGGTGAGTCACTCCTTTCCTCTGATGAGCCAAATCCAAACTGATATTAGGCTTCTTTTTTCCTGCGAGATATAGAATTGAATTGTATTTGATTTAAAATGTTTCAATTTGTAATTAAGTTCTCCAAATGTGGTTTATACGAATAGCAGAGGATCTGATGCTTTTAGGTTTGCTCTCATACAAGTGAGTTAATTGTGGGTTGAAAACCTCAGAATAGGCTGGATTGGTTTTATTTTGGAGTGAGAGTTTCAATCGTCTGTTTTGAAGTGAAGGTTCATTGGCTTCAATGTTCAAACTTTGCACTGGCGAAGTTCCAAAGGCAAGTCGTAGCACTGATGATGCACTTATTCAAGAATCTGCTTATATGATTTTCTGGCAGAGTCATAAATTATGTTTCCATAGTCCAGACAGGAACGGATTAGTGTTGTAGAGTCTCAAAAGAACAATGTAATCTCAACTTTTATGAAAAAAACAAAAACAAAAAAACACTAACAACTGGTCAATGGAAAACCTGTAACATAATATATGAATAAGTGCTCACCGTTAACACTAATATTGAAGATATTTCCAATGATGTCGCTGCTGCTGATGATCTTCACTTCATATTCTCCAGAATCTGTGTTTGTGGTGTGTGTGATAGTCAGAGATCCAGTCTGATTATCCAGCTTCAGTCTGTCTCTGAATCTCTCAGTGCCTCCATTACACTGAACATCTGTACAGATCTTACTCTGATCTCCATTGATTCGAGCGATGCGGATGCCATAAAAGTACCATTTAATCTCTTCTTGTTGGATTGTTTGAACACCAGTGTAAAAAGTGACTGATTCTCCCTCCATCACGGACACTGACACTTTTTCTGATCCAACACCGAAAACACCTGTAACAGAAATGAACAGTTTTCTACAAAATATTTTTAATCATGCAGTTTGAATCTCCCAAATAAATATAGTGTTTAGCTACATTACATTTTAATTTGGCAGAAGCTTTTCTCATATTACACTCAAGTTACATTTGATCAGCTCATGTAAAACACTCTCAAAATCAACACATATGCGATTTATTTGTTCAGTTTAACTCGTTACTAATATTTAACGCAGTAATGCAACATTCGTTTTTCCTGGCATCCTTTGGCTAGCGTTACATAACATGACAATGGTGTAATTCATTAAAGTGCTAAGAGGAAAAAAAAAACAAAAAAAACACATATGTACTGGCGTATCTGTGAACCGGTTCTCTATGGATACTGAGTCTTTTTAGGTCGGGTAGGATCTGTGAACTGTGACCCTGTTTGTTTACTGACTTTCATGACTGTGATATATGAAGTGTTTTTAAACCAACTGGCAACCCGAGCTGTCGAAATACTACTGGGCAGAATCCCACAGACCAAAACATTATCAGACATTCTGACACAGAACACACATTTCAAAGAAGAATAAACGCCCGTCACATTATTTCTATTAGAAAAAAAACTGTGATCAGTGTGTTTTCTATACAGTACATGTCTGCAAACATATTCTAGTTTTATTCTTTAGTATAGTATTGCATTCAGTATTATGCATATATTATTGCATTTTGTCTGAAACATTGTACATTTGTTTTTATTTTTAATTTTTTTCTTCATTAGAATGGTATGAAACTTGGTAAAGGTTTTGGCACTTGCTATGTGAACACACACACACACACACACACACACACATACAAATAAAAATCATGGACTTTATTCGAACAGGTTAAATGGTCCTGAAAAAAGTCACACTTGTGCTCCACGCGGCAAATGAATGGGAGACAAATTTCATCTAGAGAAAAGTTTTGGTACCATCTCATATTTTAACAACAACTTGTTAAGATTTAAGGTTTTGATTTTCTGTTTTAGAGTTAAATATTTCACTTTATATTTCACTAAAATTTTTCACTAAAACTTTACACTTTTTCTACAAAATTCACTTTTTTCACTTAGTGTCATCTTTGAAAAATGTTTCTCTAGAAAAAAGTCTGTGCTGTGAACTAAAGCATTCAAGAATTACGACAGTTGGTCGATGCTCAAAGAGTGAATAAATTAATTATAAATACAGCGTAAATATAATTCACGATAATGAAATCCCTTCTATTTTGAAAAATATTCAATACATTTTTTTTGACTGAAATATAGTACATTAATTTCATTTTCATTGGAAAAAAAACTAATTTCAGTCATTTTGACCGACACGTGAAGAGCACTAATGTATATTATTACCATACGTCTAGTAGGGCCTACCCTTCTGATATTGTACAAATGTGTAGCGTTGACGCAGTGGCGGCTGGTGAATAATTTAATAGGTGGGAATGTGGCTTATCGAACAATCTGTTGCAGAACAGGAAAAGTTAAAGAACATCTGCTTGACCTTGACTTCTGGTTATTCATAAAAACAGCTAATGAGTTAATTTACCAGTGTCAATGAAATTATGGATAGCCTACCTCCATGACCGATTTAAATAAGACAGAGGAAAATGTACGAAACATTAGTAAACTACTTAACTTTGGTAAACTACTTTAGTTAACATGAACTAAGAACAAACTTCTAGTATACGTTATTTCAACATTAATGCACTGTGAAGTAACATGAACACACAATTATTAACTAAAATTTAGTAAGATTAAAAAATACTGTAACAAATGTATAGCTCATGTATTGCTCATTCATGTTGGTTAAAACATTATCAAATGTTGACAAATGAGACCTTATTAAAGTGTTACCAAAAAAATCAATGTGATGAAATAATCTGTGTGTTGGTCTGGACCAGCTCGTTTACCTATAGTTTTTCTGCCTAAAATGTCTTCTCAAAGTGACATTGAAGAATTGATTTAAGTTAAATTTGATGACAGTGCAAGAAGCTTATGGGTAGCAATGCAAAATGACAATGCAATGTGTAAAACGACATTCTGTATTTAAATTTACATTACCATTCTAGAAACGTTTGGTGCAAAATGAAATTACATAATTTACATTTGCCATTTCATGCACTAATTTTAATATGCATATTGAAATGCTTTATAAAATTATGAAAATGAAAATGCATTACAGAAATTATTAGAAATGTGTAACATGTTCAAGAAAAAACTGAGGCAAAATGATAATTCAAATGTTATTTTTCTTAATTGCATTTACACTTACAAAGATTAAAATTCAATTTTGATGAAAAGCCCCGTAATGATTGTTCAAAATTCAATGTGCACATTGAAAATGCATTTCGAGCCGATCAATCTGTCAATCACTGTATCAAGGGGTTCGGCAACAGGTCAACATATCATGTTATTATGGCTATATTACGTGTTTTGAGGTGTTGAAAAAATTGCTGCGGCAGAGATAAATACGAGCGTTAAATTCTTTAGCAGATGAAGAGGAGCGGGAACAGAGAAACGGTAATATTTCCGAAGATCTTCTTTTGCCACAGTTTTTGCTTGAACATGTTACAAATATCTAATCATTTCTTTAATGCATTTTCATTTTGCAACTTATAAAGCATTTCAATATGCATATTAAACTAGTGTATGAAATGACAAATGTAAATTATGTAATTTCACTTTAATTTTTCACCAAAAGTTGCTAGAATATAAAATGTCAATTTAAAAACAGAATGCAATGCCATTTCACATATTGCATTGATATATTACATTTCAAATTGAATATTGCTACCCATATGCTTCCATATTAAGCGCTGTTGTTAGATTATATTACAGGACGCTGATTTGCTAATTTTATGTCATATCTTGAATACGTTGAAGACGTATCTTGAATCTTCTATCTTGAAGAGAGAGAGAGATTTTACAAAACTTTATTTAAAACAACACTTAATATTCAACAATTGACATTTGTGTATAAGGGGAAAAAAGAAAAAAAAATATATAAATTAAAAAAAAAAAATTTAATTCCAAAACCAGATTTCCATCGGAAACAACACACAAAGCATCATTAACACACCACAGATCACTGAAACCCTTCTCATTATTTACAAGACTATAGTATGCAAATTCTATTTACCAGCCACTAATTTCATAAACATCACTTCAACATTAATACTATTAAGCTGCAATCCTTGATTTTTCCATGTTTTCCATATTGCCAATTTCTCAGTTCCTGTTAAATAATTTAAGACACATCTTCCTTCTTTTTAAAAAATTATATTTCACACCCCCTATAAAAACTTCCTCTGAGAAATCTTCACCAAAAACTTGAAACAATCTATTAAGAACTTCAAAAAGACCTTCTAGTCTTTTACATTTTAAAAACAAATGTTCTAAATTTTCTTCTCCTCCACAAAACCTGCATCCCACCCCTACTGCTGGGTTCAGGTGTGCCACATGTTTGTTTGTGGCTATTGCACCATGAATTATTCTCCATTGAAGATCAGCTGTTCTTTTCTCTACTGGAGGTTTATTCCGGTCTCTTACGAGAAATTCTGGTTTCAACAAAACTGGCCACTTCGATATCTTTTGTCCTTTAAGTGAAGCTTGATTTAAACCTTTAACTGCAGTGTTATATATTTCTTTCTTCGATGTTGTTTCAAACAAGTCCAGCTCTGGAGTTTTAAAAGATAAAATTGAACCTGTGGATTCATCCTCATCCATCTGTCTTTGACCGACGACAGCAGCAACTCCAACTTTAGGAAAGTCCAGCTCATTGCTTATGTCTGATGTAAAATCTTGTCCCATATTTCTCCTATAGCCGCTTGGTAAGGCATTAACAATTTCTCCCACCAGCTTTTCAGTCAGGCGCGAGGACTTTATTCCTGTTACTTCTTTCAAAGTTTCCACAGATTCCCATTCGCCATCATTCAGAAGTTGCCCCAGCTTCACAATGCCATGTCTTTGTAAACATGCCCGCACGGCACGCTTACAGAGGACAAAAGTCTTGTCTGAATCATTGGGTTGAAAAACAAAACTTCCTCTCGTATCCAGCTCCCAGATTCATCAACATTTCTTTCCACTTTAAAAACACTTCTCCAAGAGTGCAACATTGACCGGTAAAAAAGTGTAACCTCAGACAAGTTCACCTTATCCAGTTCCATTAGAAACAGATGTTTGTCTAAATTAAGACCACCTGCCTTCTGCAGAATCATCTTTGCAGTCTCAGTCTAAGTTAAATCCTTGTTATACAGGAATCTCTGTGCAGCTTGTAATCTGAAAGCACAGATCTTACTCCGCACATCCACGAGGCCTTGACCTCCCTCGTAACAGGGGAGGGTAGAGCGCCGCTGCTCGAATCCAATGCTCTCCACTCCAAAAAAAAATCCACAAATATTCTCTGTATTCTGCAAATCAAATCTTCAGGTGGTTCCATTACAATGAGACATCAATGGTAATAGCGATCTCCATTTAAACAATCGGGCAGACGCCTTTTCCAGCAGTCCCTCCCAATTTTTGTTCTCAAATTGTTTATTGCCTAATAATAACCCCAAGCATTTTCAGCCCATCTCTTTCCCACAACAATCCACCAGGTAATTTTGGAGTTCCTTGCTCACTTTTCCATTGGCCAATAACGAGTCCCTTACTTTTTCCCCAATTGACTCTTGCTGATGATGCCTTTTCATACTTTTCCTTTGTTTCAGTTAAAAAATTAACAATCATTATGATTTGAAATAAAAACAGTAACATCATCAGCATAAGCTGATATCGAAATTCCATGCATGGTATTGATTCCACTGAGACCCCTTCCTAGCCTGCACAACAATGGCTCAATAACAAGGCTATATAGTTGTCCAGACAGTGGACAGCCTTGCCTGATCCCTTTTAACACAGGCACTGGTGCACTCAATCCTCCACCAGCTTTCACAATCACAAAAACTTCAGAATATAACAGTTGAATATATGAGATAAAATTCTTCCCAAACCCAAAACTTTTCAAAACCTCAAAAAGTTATGTATGGTTGACTCTATCGAAAGCTTTCTCTTGATCTAATGAAAGCACACCCAGGTCAACATTACTGAACTGATTAAAATCAATGACATCTCTTAACAAAAAAAGATTATCCACAATAGACCTGTTAGGGATACAATATGTTTGATCTCTGTGAACTAATAATTCTAAAACATGTTTCAATCTATTTGCTAAGCATTTTGAAATTATTTTATAGTCCATGCAAAGTAAAGAGACAGGTCTCCAATTCTTTAAAAGGCACAAATCCCCCTTTTTTGCGAGCAAAGAAAGGACTTCTCTTCGACAACTTAAAGGAAGCAGCTTATTTCTTATACTTTCCAGTAAAACTTCATACAAGTCATTTCCTAGTACGTTCCAAAATACCTGATAAAACTCTGCTGGCAAACCATTGATTCCTGGAGAACGTCCATTGGATAATTGTCTCATTGCCTCAGTTATCTCTTGAAAAGTAATTTGTCCATCCAAGGCTTTTTTCTGATCATTTGTCAGCTTCGGTAGGTCACTCAACAAATCAAAAACACATTCAGGATCACAAGTCTCAGCATCATTCAAGTCCGTATAAAAATTTACAGCCAGTTTCCTTATTTCCACTGGGTCAGAAGTTATGACCCCATCAGGCCGCCGAAGATGATACATTTGCTTTTGCTGGACGCTTTTCTTTTCAAGGTTAAAAAAATATGAGGATGGAGCATCCATGTCCTTAATGGAACAAATTCTTGCTCGTATAAATGCTTCTTTCACTTGTTCTTGTAGTAATGAGCAAAGTTCTTTCTTTTTATTCAAATATTCATTTTTTATATTTCCATCATCATTATTTATCACAGTAATACTCTCCAAAACTTGAATATCTCTTTGAAGTTTTTGCATTGCTGCTTTCACCATAGATGTAGAATGTGAACTATAATTCTGACAAAAAATTCTTATGTTTGCTTTACCAACCTCCCACCACATAAGCACATTTTCAAAAGAAAGCTTTTTTAGCTTCCAATCATTCCAAAAAAAAAATTAGAATTCTCACAAAATAAAGCATCTTGCAACATCTTAGTCTTAAAATGGCAAAAATAATTTGGTCTTAAATTCCTTTTTATATTCAAAGCAAATAGTATCAACTGGTGATCTGAAAAACCAACAGAATAGAAACATTCGTAATTTTACCATCCCATACTTTACCAATATAAAATCTATCTAATCGAACTCCACTAACTCTGTTGTTAGATACTTTGAGCCAGGTATATTGTTTAATTCTAGGGTTTCTTCTTCTCCAAATATCCATTCATTCAAACTCTTTAAAGATTTTTGACAATACAACACTTGATTCATGATGGGGTTCTTCTCCATTTCTATCAATAATAAAATCAATTCCAGTCACCTCCAATGATATTATAAACATTGTCGTCAATTTTTTGAATAGCACTCCTTAACTTTAAAAAAGACCTCACACGCTCAGGTCCATTTATTGGGTGCATATACATTTATCAATGCAAAAACAGATCCTTCAAATTCCATTTTTACCAACAACATTCTTCCCTTTACAATTTCTTCATCAACCAGAATATTAATATTCATGTCTTTAGAAAATAAAATTGCTATGCCCGCACTATTATTTGTCCCATGACTTAACACACTTGTTCCTTCCCACCATCTTCTCCATTCAGATTCATTATCTAAATTGGTGTGTTTCTTGTACTGGGCCTCACCTTGACTTCAATAACTTGGGCCTTGTCTGGGCATGTGTGCCTTTTATGCCCGATGTCCCCGCAGTCAAAACATTTCATACTACCAGTGTTTGCGTAAATAAAATATGCTTTTCCTTTATGCATAACTTTAAACGAAATATCCAACTCTGGTTCATTTAAGAACATAAACACCTGCCGCCTGAAGGACATAACGTGTTTCAGAGCAGCATTTTTACACCCCAGCGGGATCATCTTAATCATACTAGCCATCTTTCCATATCGCGTCAAAGCTTTCTCAATTTCTTCATTTCGAATAAATGGCGGCACATTAGAAATCGTAACTTTAGTAACGTGGTGAGATGTGGTGAGATGATAAGGAAATCGCCACTTACCACAATTCCTTCACTTATCAACTGATTTACTATGTCTTCTTTCCCGACAAACACAACCACTACTTTATTCATCCTGGATGCTGTAGTAATGTTTTCATATCGAACTTTTTCCCCGATTGCCGGCAACACATCCTCGACAGTGACGCCCACACGATTCCATGGCGGAGCGACACTTGCGACGCTGCCCCAGTAGCTGGACAGACGCCATCACGATGCCGCCGCAAACAAAACTCACAAACACTCACAAAACAGATCAAAATTAAATTTCAAAAGGAGAAAGAAAATAGAAAGAAAGAAAAAAAACATTCATAAACAAAAAGAGGAAAAAACTCCGAAAACAATCGTCCTTTCCTCGTGATCACCCTCACGCGCACCCCAACACTCCCAGCATGCACACAGAGAGAGAGTTCTTACCATTGTCGAGAAAAATGAAGACCACCGAAAGCGAATAAAAGAGAAGATTCATTTGCTGCACGTTTTGATTCTGATCATTCTTCTGCATTAAAAGAAAACGCAGTGAAATTAACATGGGAGCCTCCTTAATATGGAAATAGAGGGTAACGTCGCCACTAGTGAAATCACAATGCGAGTAGATGACATGAAAAATGGTCTGTGTGTGCGTGTGTGTGTGTGCGTGTGCGTGTGTGTGTGTGTGTGTGTGTGTGTGTGTGTGAGAGAGAGAGAGAGAGAGAGAGAGAGAGAGAGAGAGAGAGAGAGAGAGAGAGAGAGAGAGAGAGAGAGAGAGAGAGAGAGAGAGAGAGAATGGTCTCTAGGGTATTTAAAGTGAGGAGTCAAGTGACGATTTGGGTGGGGTCAGTAAAAAGGTTCAAATGCTGTTTTTAGAAACCTGTTGAGTTCATATCTGGGTTAATAATGAATTATTTTCTTAATGCAATAATAACCTGGAATATTTAGTGTGAAAATCAGATGTAGTTTGGTTATGTGCTTGTTTTAAATTTACATTTGTGAAATCAATAATAAGGATCAAACACGCTATGAATGGGGGCACTGTTCTTAATCTGGGCAGAACAATCTGGTAATTGTCATTTTTTTCAAAATTATTTTTTTTCTTTTTTTAAAAAAAATATTTTTTAGCAATGTTTTCTCTGCGTGATTCTGACAATCTTCTCCTTAACGAAGGTTTATAAAGACTTTTACACATTTATTTTTCTTTTCTGCAAGAGATGTCAGTGAGACGTTTCTGGTAGTCAGTTAAAAAAAGGAAATTGAATATTAACATTGTTGATATTAATATTACATTGTATACATTGTTAATATTTGTTAATATTACAAACATTGTTTATTTCCAATGGTGAATCCGTCATGGTGGACAAAATAAACTGTAGATTAATATAAATCCCAGGTTAGATTTATAATCCCTGATTTGTTAATCTGTGTTTAATATTAAGTGATGCGACAAACATTGGATGTTCTCAAATCTACTGCTGATTTCAGGCTTTTGTAAACGATCAGAAACATTAATCTGTGTAAATCTGTGTGTTCATCAGGTGTGTTTGGTGATTCAGTGTCAGTGATGGAGGGAGATTCTGTTACTCTAAACACTGATCTCACTGAAATACATGAAGATGAAGATATACTGTGGAAATATGGAGCTGAAAAATATCTAATAGCTAAAATGAATAAAAATAAGCAAATCTTCTCCACATATGATGATGTTCCTGATGGGAGATTCAGAGACAGACTGAAGCTGGACGATCAAACTGGATCTCTGACCATCACACACACCACAACTGAACACACTGGAGTTTATACACTAGAGATAACTGGAGCGAAAAAATCATAAAAAACATTCAATGTTTCAGTCTATAGTGAGTAGAGATCATTTGTCTTGTGTTTCACATATTCTTGTTTTATTAAATGAATATTCAAAACAAGTTAAACACACAGTATTTGTGCCATAATGTTAATCACTAGCAAAACTCAAGGTTAGGGTGAGGCGCTTATGTTAATGGAAACTTTTAAAACTTTAATTTTTGGTATGTTTTATCTTACCTCAAGGGCATCCAAGATGTAGGTGTCTTTGTTTTCGCAGTATTTTCAATTTTGATATTTTTAGGTCAAACCGTTCTTGTCTGTCAGTCATATAATGGAGGTCTATGGTCACCACCTCAAAGAGCATGCACAGAGAAGTCCAAATTAAACATGATTTAATGACTCGTAAATGTAAGTACACATTGATGGCCTAAGACACGAAACGAGCGGTTTGTGTGAGAAAACGAACAGTATTTATATCGTTTTTACCTCAGCCACGTCCAACTGATCTCTCGCGTGTGTACGTCACTCAGGATAAAAACACCTACAGCTGTGTGCTGAACAATCCCATCAGCAACCAGACCACACATCTGGACATCAACACACTCTGCAGACACACATGTGCTGGTACAGCACCACTCATCATATACGTGTGTGTGTGTGTGTGTTTACGGACCTGATCTCTGTCTTCTGTTGTAGATCACACTGATGCGCTCACTCACATTCATGACTATATCTCTATTATTTTTGGAGCGAGCTCTTCTGACACGCAGAGGTCTCAGATGTCTGGAAACACCCCGCAAAGCTGCATGTGTGTGTTGGACCCCTAAAAGTGTCAAAGAGGCAATAAACTCCAGACTATTTGTAGCCATGCAGGCTGTTGAATTCTTAGGGTGTTGGATTACATGATTCACCCTGGCGTGACCCTGAAGAGTCTGGCGAATCCTGCCGCCATCCCATAGAGACGTGATACTGTTGCATGGTCTTTGACAAGTGTATTGCCTCATACATGTCCACTCTGAAGAGAAACATTATTAGAGATTCAAAGGCCGTTCATTATTCTTAGCCATGTTTATGTTATGCCCCTACCTGATGAGCTTCTCGATGGAGGTGCTGATGAAGAGCATCACTGCTTGGTGGCATGTGTCAAAGTCTTTTCCTTTGTGGAAGACGAGGGAGAGTCGTGCAGCATTCAAAGTTGAGATGTTGTCCTCAGATACACCATCGAGCATCAGGACAAATCTGTGCCAGAGAGTAGCTGAAGCGATCTCATGCAGGGAGTGGCACACGGATCAGGCTGTCTTCCCGCAGAGGCAGTGTCACACACATCCCGTTAGGGCATTCCCTGGATTGTCCAAGATTGTGAGCAATAGCATGTGTTGGAATGTACAACTCGAATTCTAGAAAAGTTGGGACGTTTTTTTTTTTTTTTTTATTTGAATAAAATGAAAACTATCAAATCACATGAGCCAATATTTTGTTCACAATAGAACATAGATAACATAACAAATGTTCAAACAGAGTAATTGTACACTTTATCCAATAAATGAGTTCATTTCAAATTGGATGCCTGCTACGGGTCTCAAAACAGCTGGGATGGGGGCACCAAATGTTCTCTATTTGTTAAAGATCTGGATTTAACACCCGGACACAGTTGTATTATCTGAAGTATGTGGTTTTGCTGAAATACACAAGCACTTCCCTGAAATAGACACCATCTGGAGGGGAGCATATGTTACTCCAAAACCTTTAAATATATTTCAGCATTCCTTGTGCATTCCAAAACCTGCAAGATGCCCAAACCGTCTGCACTTACAGTACGCACCCCCATACCATCAGAGATGCGGCTTTTGGACTGAACGCTGATAACTCGATGGAAGATCTCGCTCTTCTTTTGCCCGTGATTTCCTACAAGAATGTCCAATTGTAAAATTACAAATATAATGTACAGAAGTAGCTGCACTGCTTAAGTACAAATGTATTTCTTTTGAACAAAAAGATAAGTAAAGTCAATCTGAGCGGTAGCAAGCAGTAGCGTGTACTGTACATTTTAAAACTAAACAAAAACCTAAGAGATGCACTTTTTAAAATAATGTCAGCATATTATCAATTAGGTTGGTACAATATCAAAATCACAAATTATGGGTCTGCAAACTTATATCTGCCCGATGACGATACAGCGACAGGTTTAGAACGTCTGCAAGAAAATACAGATTGACTATATCAGGGGTTTCTATAGGGCCACAGCCTAATTAAACACACCTGATCCAGCTAATTATAAAGAGAAACGCTTTATATAGTTTAGACTCTTTATCATATACAGAAATGGACCATGGTGAACCAAGCCCAGCTCCAACTTTGAGGTGTGTTGTGGCAAGAATCCTGTCAAACATCATCACTGCGTAAGAGACACTCAGAGTCAAATTAAATAAAGAAAAAGTGTTTATTCTTGCAAGAATAGGCCAAGTCACCAACACAGCAGTTACACTGTGGAGAGAGTGAGACGCCTTCAGGGAGACATTAGACAGCTCTTATATTATTTTCAAGGTTTCTCTTCACCCGCTGTACCTTTCACCCACCCAGATAAGGCCCTTACTGCTGTTAGTCTCTACTTATGGACACAAACTAGTCCTGAAATAAACTGGCCGTCCCTAAGGTCAGAGGTCCTGTCCCATATGTTCCTGAAACGTCACCCACAACCACGTACATATCTATATTTTACTCATGGAATAGGTTCAGTGGAAACACATGGCTCAGACTACCTAGTAATCTTCACTAATTATTAAATTAATATAATGAATTACATTACTGGTGAGCCGGGGTTTTAACATTATTATTATTTTTTTTCCCCTAGTAATAAAGGTTGTAACTTTATATTATAACAAAAGCAGCAGTCTTAAGGGACTCTATATAAACACAGAGCTAAATGCTAAAGTGTTTATAGGCCTACTTTCCCTTCCAAAAATGTCACTACCCCCACTAAATAAGTTAATAAAAAAGTGAAACAGTGCGACGAAAACAGCAACACGGAGATAAACATAGAAATAAGTAAACAATCAAAAATAACCAATCCACATGCAAAAAAAAAAAAAAAAAACAGTGTGAAAGAGGTTGTGTATGAAAATCTCACTAAAAAGTGATGATCAAATACTGCATACTGGATCTGATGTTAGAGCTCAAAACTCTCAACCTTTAGTTTCTGCCAGAATCTCTGTTTTGCTTTTGATCTTCCTATGACATTGTCCGATCAACTGCAGCACATATTTACATGATGTCTAACCGTCGCTCTCTGCTGTGTGAGTGGCGTCAGATGTTTGAAAACAGCATATCACTGCTTGCGCACTTCATTTATGCCTAAACGGAAAATAAATTATTTTTATTCTATTAAAAGTAAAAGTCTTTCTGATAGAAATGTCATGTGGATTGAAGGAGAACCCAAGCGCAGACTGGATGCAGTGACTCAACGTTTAATTATACAGAAAACAATGGAAAATAAAACCCACGAGGGGGCATGGACAGAATACAGAATGACTAAACTAGACTTAACGCTTGACAAATTAGACTATAAACTAACAACAGAAACTCATAACACTAGACAAGACTCTCACAAGGTACTCACAGGTAAGTTTAGCAATCACTGACGCTACGTATGACAAAGTCCCACATGAAACAATGAACCGACACAGGACAGAAAACACAAGGGGATTATAAAGGGGAACACTAATGACAAGGACAGGTAAAACTGACTAGACAATAATGACAAGACGAGGATAACAAGGGGGTAACGTAACGAGACAACACAACACAAGCACATGGCCCAAACAGGCCATGCACACAAAACATGATTCTGTCATGATCTTGCCTCACGACGAGAGAAAATCAAGGACAAGAAGGCAGAATCATGACAAGGAAAGCATGATTTAACGTGAACGTTTAGATAACGAAAATGCAGAAGTATACCTTTGAAGGAATACAAATTTATTAAATGTTTCATTAAGGTTTAACAGTATTTTCAACTGAAAAATGTATACAGTGTTTACCATTTTGAGGCCAATAAGATTAAGCCAAGCATTCCAGGTGTCACACATTAGCTTTTGTCTTTATGCGCTTCCTGGCCATTAAGTTCAAGATTCAGCTTTGCTTTTGTAATGGTAAAAGTGTGACCACGCTGGTCAGGCTGATTAGATTAGCGTCTCTGGTAATCTGCTGAATCATTTACATTTGCTTTTGTTTCAGTTTCTCCCCCCTCAATGTAAACTCCTCCCCTCTAAATGTATAAATTGTAAGGGAGTGTTTTCCCTTAGTTAGACTTACTTTGAGATGACTACAGCGACGCAATAAAGAACTTCTGCGTGAAAGAGACCTCAAGAGTCTCCTGGTCTGTTGCGTGGAAGAAGAAAAACTTAACTACACCTTTAACTCTTGTGCATCCTTATGGGCATTTTTGTCCTTTTCTGTTTTGTTTTTTTGATCACTTGATCACAAAAATTGGCACAGGTGTGTATTTTTATTGGGATTTTACTATTTCACCGTCATTTTCTTAAAAAAATATTTTTTGCATTAGGTACAAAAAATACTCCCTCTCAGCACCTTTTGGACAAAAATGTCCCCATTGAAACCCATTAAAACTGCCATTTTTAATCCCCGGTTCAGTTAACTATAAAATTATGCAATCTTTGTTAAGAGGCTTTCATTCTGATGGCAAGGCTACAAAATTTAATTTTTTTTTACTATTTTTTATCAGATGGTGCCATTTTTTAAAAAAAAGTTTGGCCTATAAAACAAATATGGCTTTATTCCTGTTTTCTGCTTCGGCATACTATAGAGCCAACTGGATAAATTATGCAACGATATTTGTGTGGGTGTGTTGGTATGGATGTTAGGGTGTGGTTAGTATGTGTGTTTTAAAAAAATGTGTGTGTGTGTGTGTGTGTGCGCATGTGTGTTTTAGTAATACTGAGAGAGAAAAACTGCAAATAACAAATCCAATCACTGTGAGCTCTAGTGGGGTTTTGCTGGCACCCAATGGGGAAAATATGTTACTACGCCCAAACAAACTGTTACCGAAAGCTCATTTTTTGAGATATCGTCCTCAAATTTGGAACACAACCTATTTAGATTTATGGCTTTGATTTTATTGCAGATTTGAGTTCAACCTAATTTATAAAATACATATTTTATGTAAAATATTTTTTATAAATAATTTTCATAAAGTTATACCTATATAACTTTTTTTGGGATTTACTCATTATTATTTTTTTACTTCAGCAATAATCTGCAAAGGTTCTTCTTTAAAACGATACCAAACTTAAGTCTGTGCTCCGAAGCGTCACATTATTATGACAGTTTTTTGACATGGACATTTTTGTCCTCTTTTTACCTATGTGTAGGGTTGGGTATCGTTTGAATTTGAACGATTCTGATTCCGATTCCGATTCCTTGTTTCGATTCCGGTTCCTAACGATTCTCGATTTCGATTCTTTTAAGAGGCAGGGTCAAAAAAGTTTAGCTAACCTTGCTAACCAACTGTCTTTCTGAAGGAAATACTCCTTCTGTCACAAATACTTGTCACAAATTTTGCATTTTGCCGAGATTTCGTTAATTTTTAGAAAAGTGAAGCCACACTTTGGACCGCCGACGTAAGCTACTCATGTTCGACTCGCGCGGTTATGCCAACACTTCCGGTAGACCCTTCTTCATTGGTGTTGTTCAGCGGTTTCTTCTTCCGCTCGGCGGACTGTGAATATCGAAACTAGGAATTGAAATTTTAACTTTTGAACGATTCCGGGAAAAACGAAAAGTTAGTCCCGGTTCCAATCGATACTCGATTCTCGATACCCAACCCTACCTATGTGTAACTTTTTTTAATTGATGCACAAGGGTCAAGTTACGTGTTTAAATATACGGTTCAATAGAATGAAAGAACATTTAGATTCAGAGACATTTGTTTTCAGACTTTACCAGGACCAACATTCAGCACGCATGACTCATTGCACACATGAAGAGTTCAGATGCAAAAGCCTCTAAATGCCATTTGAAATTTTCTTCTTTAATGATGATTTTTATCAAACTTGTATATTTAAGTTCAGTAATTTCACTTAAATAACAATTAATAGGTAATTATCATTGCCATTTAAGTGAAATCACTGAACTTAAATATACAAGCTTGATAAAAATGATCATTCTAGAAGAAAATTTCAAATGGCACTTAGAGGCTTTTGCATCTGAACTCTTCACATACTTCTGTACATAATAGACATTCCATCATTGGACCTTGATACTTTAAGACCTCTATTTAAGACCTTCTCCCCAAACAGAAGCCTGTTCCCTTTCACCAGATATGCTTCGG